GTAAATATATTTCCAGTGAGCTATCTCTATGTAAATCATAAAAATTTCCAAAGTTCGCGTATCCAACAAAACCTGGACTATTTGTAAGTTCACTTGAAAAGAATATGCCCGTATATGATGTTACGGGGAGATAGCATCAAATATGCCTCACGTCATCCCAAAGTAGTGGTGATGGAGTTGAGCTTTTATTTGGAAAATACAATGTCCGGTCCAGTATACTTCCAGGAAATCATTTAAGTGTCCAACAGATAATCAACATAAAATTGCTTTAGTACTTTATTAGTATAAGCAAGAATCTTATTGGCATAATACTCGATCTTCAGGCCAAGACAAATATTTCTTGAACTCTTCAGGAGTTTTAACCAAGTATTAACTTTTTAGGAATTTTGATCAATTATCAACTCTTCAGGAGTTGTAATGTGTTGCAACCATATCATAATTAATGTACTAATAGAGGCAATTTATACATATTGATATTGAGTACAAAATTTGTTCTCTAGGCACATGTCCTTCAAAGACTTGCTTCATGCAATTACAAACCTTCAAGGATTTTATTTAAGCGATTATACTTCATGACACATTATATAGCTTTATATCCAGCTATTTGTTCTACTTGTACATCTTTAGGGAATCGCTTCTGGCGATATGCTCCGTGCATTTAATAACCCTTAAAGATAACATGTTGGTCTCCGTAAATGTGCAATAAGAAGGCACGATTACATCTCTAAATATGGAGAACCTCAACGTTCCTTGTTTATACAAGAAACATTGTGTCATATAAATTGAGTATATTTCTCTTTTATTCCGAACACCCAAGTATAACTTTCAGGGTTAACATCTTTTGGGTTTTGTATTATGGGTTTGTTCCTTCAGTTCATTCTCATCTGTAATGGAATTGCCCCTTTCCATTTTTGGCCAATGATATTGTCGACATTTAATAATAGAACGTGGTTCAATCAACACAGCCCATTGATAATTTTAGTAGCTACCAAAAATTGTCATTCATCAATTCATGATCCCATTATTCTCATGTGCATGCACATGCTTCAATTATAGCATTTCTTTGCTTTTGGGTACCCAAGCCACTGAAGGGGGCTTTTATTATCTCTTTCCAAACGGATATCTCTTATAGGATGAATTATGTGAGAATGTGGATCATAACCTCCAAATGGAGCGTTATTTTACAGTGGGGTGTGGATAATCTCCATTTAGGGAGTTGGAACATTTAGAACCCATATATCTATCATGCTGCCCGCTGCAGGCATGCCACATATTAATACATATAAATCAATTAATTGTCCTTCTGGGACTTTAAACCATATAATTTGCTACGCATTAGGTGTACACCGTATTAATATTGACATGTTAATGGATTGTCCTTCTGAGACTTCAATCCACATCATTTGCTATGCGACAGGCGTGCATCATATTGATCACTACTATACTCATGTTCTTTTCTTATGGGACTTTAATCTATGCAGTGTATTTTCAATGTATTCAACTTGCAGTTTGTGAAATTTGCATTAATAATTCATGAATACATATCAGAATGATACAAGCCATTCTTCTGGAATGGTTATAATACAAGTCGTTCTTCTGAAACGATCTATAATTGTTCAACCATTTTGATTTTAATCCTGTGATGGCAGGGTAAAGTTCCCCATTGGCTTGACAACCATTGGTGGTCAGCAGGTCAACTTTCTTTTGTGCGTGAGTACGCCACTGCCAGCAGTTTCAAATCCTAGCAGACTTCTAAAAAAATAGATAACTTGCGCCCCAAGTTACTGACTTTTGAACAAGTAATTGTGAATTTGGGTGAGGAATATCTCCCAAGTAAGTTCTTTTCTTTGCCTCGGACTGGTGAGGACTTGATAATTTTTCACAGTACAAAATTGGTAGTTCTAGCCAGAATAGATAAAAAGAATACAAACTGTTTTAGGCAGAACTGCCTGTTATAGGACTAAACAAGAGAAATGGTAACCCCGGAAATGACAACAGGATGTTGGACTTCGATTTTTGCCAGGGTAGCTGTTTCTAAACTGGGCTGGATCAGCTATGTCTATGCCGAATTAGCTCGTCAACACCTTCAACTAATGAGTTTCAGTTGGAAATTGATACCAACGTTTGAGTTTAGAAGAGCTTCAATTTATTATGAGCCATGGAAAGCCAGCTGAACGGGCAGAATTGAGGCCTCTCCAGTCTGAACGGAACAGAAGTGGCTAGATTGATGGTCACTGAGCTGGAACTGTATTATGATGCATGTTCTGCTTTACTAAGGCTTTCTGTAAATTTGTTGAGGTTTTCATATTTGTGAAAAACCCTGACTCTGCTTGACTTGGCTTTATGCTGAACCAAATTTGTAACGAGAGAAATCTCACTTTATAAAACTGCTTCTCTGAACTGAACTTAAATAAGAGATTTGAATTATAGCTGACTTGTTTCTTGTGGCTCAATGAGCTTTGGTTGTTTCAGTGTTTGAAGGCTTTTGAGATCAATGGATCTTTTTGACTGATTTTTTGGTTGTCCTTGATCTGTTCATCTCCTCTCATAATTATAGGAAATGCTGGAGTAGGGGTTTTTAATCTTTTAAAAATGGGTGGCAAATCTTTAAAAGATCTTTTCTCTTTTTTTTCTTCAATGGCATAAAAGAAGGAGTTTATTTATTTTGGCAGAGAAGAGCCATCAACAATCAATTTTCATGGAGGTCTTTTCCTTGCTTTTTCTGAAAGAAAAACCAACTTTCTTTGTTCTATGTTTGTTCCTTGTAAAGAGAAAGAACACGATCTGCCATGATGGTCAGTTTGCTTTTCCTGTTAAACAACTCCCTTGCTCCTTACTTATCTTTTGAAAATGTAGTCTGCTTATCTCTTGGAAAGGCCACCTGCTTTGGTGCAGAGTTTCTCTATATATGTAAAAAGGGATTTGATCTTCTTCCTTTGGCTGCAAAAATGGAGAAATCCTCATGTAAGACCTGCCTTCATTAACTCCCTATCAACTCTTCTGTGATAGTTGAAAATTTTGACTTTTCAAAGTCAAGAAATCACGTGGGGGCTTCCTTGAGAAAAAAGATCTGTTGTTTTTGCCTCTTTGATATAGAGACCAAGTGGTGAGATTTTCTCAGAAGCTGGGCTTTTATCCAAAATTGTGTGTATCAGTTTTTTTTAATTGCCAATAATGGTATTACGTCGGTAGATCTACTTAATGACAAGAATTGAAATAACCACGACGGTTTATATAGAAAACCGCCGACATAATCAGATTATTCTGAGATCACAAGGGTTAGGAAATCTTACAAGATGGAACTCTGTTGCTCATCATAATCTTACCAGAAAGACAATATTTTAGAGGTTAATGATGTATGTGTATTTGTGTCTTTGAGATACACAAACGCACATACACATTAACATCCAAAAAATTGCTTCTGAAATTTGACGACGGCAGCCTCAGATTTGCAATCAGAGAGACAATTTTTTGGAAGTTGATGATATGTGTGTGTTTGTGTATCTACACAAACGCACGCACACATCAACATCCAAACAATTGCCTCCTAAAATTTCACGACGGCAGCCACAGATTTCCAATCAGAGAGACAATTTTTTGGAAGTGAATGATGTATGTGCGTTTGTGTATCTACACAAACGCACACACACATTCACATCCAAACAATTGCCTCCTAAAACTTCACGACGGCAGCCACAGATTTGCAATCAGAGAGACAATTTATTGAAAATTGGTGATTTGCAATCAGATTTGCAATCAGCCACAGATAACCAACATTCAAACAATTGCCTCCCAAGAGATGAGGTGAGACAGAGAAAGGGGCAAGAAGAAGTTGAAACCCTAATCGAATACTAAAACTGAAAGAACCCGTGAAAAAAAACCCTATTTATAATTAAAAAACCAAATCCACGTCGGTTATATTACACATAACGACGTTTGTAGGGGCTTTTTTTCTTCCGGCAGCTACTACAGGCCTGACTGCCGTAAAGGGCAAAATGGAAGAAATTGCCCCTTAAGCCTGAGTTTGAAAATTAAGCCCCAAAATACCTCGAAAAGGCAGTAGAGCCTTAGGAAGTATTTTGGTTATCTTCACCAACCAAAATAATGGCAGCTTACAGGTAATTTCTTCATGCTTACAGATAAACTTTTGAGTTTGGCATGAGGGGCTTGTGGCATGGGAGCAAAATTAGCATGAGTTGAGCACCAAAAAGGAAATATGGCTTCCTAGGGAGAAAAGGGAGTGTTTAAGGTGAGGAAGAAGAGGTTTTCAAGCATATGTGGCTAGGAAGAGAAAAGGGAAGAACTATGTTCTTCTGGCAGCTTGTCAGAAGAAGAAAATGGAGGAAGATGAACAGTGCACGAAATTGCTGGTTTTTGCAAGTATGAGAGGAAGCTTGCTCTCTGGTTGTGGATGATTTTTGTTGGGTAGAAGAGGCCCTAATTTATAGCCGCTGGAAGCTGATATTTTCCAAGAAAACCTAATGGCTTCTACCCATTTTGGCTAAGCTTTTCCTTCCTTTCTCCCTTCATCTCTTCAATCATCCCTTTTTGGTGAAATCCACTCTACCCATTTGCATAAAATCAGGGATTTTTTGGGAGCTCAAAGCCCCCTTTCCTGCGGCTGTTTCAGACTTCTATTTTCAGCCATCTTTCTTCCTTCTTTTCTCTCCTTTTCCAAGGCTAGGTCTGATGAGGGAAGGAATGGGTATGCATGCTGGTTCAAATGGTGATCTGCGCTCCAATATCCCTTGGTCATTTGGAAGTTTTTGCTTGAAACTTGTTTCTCCCATGTGCTGGAGCTTTCCAGCAGCTTTCACACATGGATATTTTGGCTTTCAACGTGGCTTTTGTTTTCAGCTAGGTGCTGAAGATTTGCAGATATATTTTTTTGGGTTGCTTGGGCCTTCTATGACAATAAGTTGGTTTATCAAGTACATGGGCTAACTTCATCAAGTATTGGGCTAGTTTGGTTGAAGTGATGGGCTATTTTGGTTGGAGTAATGGGCTATTTTGGTTGGGCTACTTTCTCTTTTGTGCTCACCCACATGTTTGGGCCTAAGAAATGGGCTTGGGTTCCGAGGCTCCCAAGTAACCCGGAACCTCCACTTCTTGGTCCATCAATGGGCCTCATGACAATTTATTACCATCCATACCACAACCCACTCAAGCAAGCCCCGGGTATTTGAGTGGCTTGGGGCCCACTTAAGCTTGTGGCGTGATTAGGTGCGGAATGATAATTCCTTGCTTAGCGTGGCGTGTCGTTTGGCGTGGCATGTGTGCAAGCGCATATGATGAACTTTCGCATGCCCAAATCGGGTTTCTTCTTGGTAAAGCATCGCATTGGGCCGAGAATTTATTTGGGCCGAACCGTGAATATTTTGGGCCTCAACATTAGCCCCCTTGATTATTGGGGCCATGAATGTGTATTGAAATGGTCCGAATAATCAATTTTCAGCCCAAAATAAATTACCGTGGCATGGCATGGCATGGGTTTAGGAGCAACTCAAGGATAACAGGTTAAGAGTCTCTGAAATTACAGCCAGGTCTTTTCCGGGAAGGTTGGAGGGGTCACAATGGTCCCGCTTAAAACCCAATCCTTCTTAAACACCGAGGGTGTTGCCTTGAAGAACTTTCCTAGACACTGTAATTTTGGAGGTCACTTACTAGAGTTACCAAGAGTTGACCCTATTTTGTGGCATGATATAGAAGAAAATGCTTGGTGGATTAGCTCAAGATAACTACTTAGCTCGCATGATTTATTTGCTTGAGTGACTAGAGAGGCTTGATTTTGCATGATTGTGGTTTGCAAGAGTTGCATTGACTTGTGTATCTAATATTAGTTATGTATGCTTGATTTTGGCTTGCATGATTTGCTTTGACTTGTATATTTGGTATTTGGCTTGATGCTTAGCATTGGCATGTATGCTTGATTTTGGCTTGATACTTGGTATTGGCGTGTATGCTTGATTTTGGCTTGCATGCTTGGATGCTTGGTTTTGGCTAAGGTAGCATGGTTTAATATGGCTTTTGGGACATTTAGCATGGTGGATTTCATTTGACAGTAGCCGGACGTGCTAGTGGATAGTGGGGATCCAATCTTAGAGTTGCGGATGCAATAAGCTTGGATTCACCATTGTGTTTGATTTTACAGCACCAGCCTCCGAACACTTTGAATTTAGAGGACAAAACTTCAATGAAGGTGATATCGTGCGACATTATGGCTAGATATTGGAAGAATGCTTGAAATAGGGCATGTGCTGGAAGGATATTTGAAATATAACAAGTGCTGGAAGGATATTTGAAATAAAGCAGGTGCTGGCAAGGTGTTTGAAATAGGGCATGTGCTGGAAGGATGTTTGAAAACATGGCAGGTGCTAGAAGGATATTTGAAACAGGACAGGTGCTGGAATGGACCGAATAATTAAACCCGACCCAAAAAATCAGATTTGTATTTGTAGAGAACTTCTCTTCTTCCCGCGTGCAAAATGATGACGTGTCATAATTGGCCCCAGCGGTTATTTGCAGTTTCCTAATGCCAAACGCCTTCTTCCTTTCTTTTTTATTATTTTCTTTCTTTCTCTTCCCTTTTCTTGCACCAGATCCAACTTCTTCCTACTTTTCTTCTCTTCGTTTTCCCTTGTTCCCCCAGCTCAAAACTGAGTGAGAGAGTAAGATCAAGTGGAAAACATCTGCCTCCAGCCGCTGGGAAAAGAGCCCAAGTCGATTTCAACCCCTTCAGCCCTTCTCCCTTCGAAGAAGCCCTTCTGCCGTTGCTAGAAGGGACCTTTTTGTGCGGGTTTTCCTCTATGATTCTCAATTTCGCTCTCTTCTTGGTATATTCAAAGTCACCCGTTGGGATTTTAGCAAGGTATGTCCCTTCTCTAGCTTTCTCTTGGATTTATTGAGGAATTTGCTGGGTTCCCTTCATCCATGAATATTGCCCTTTGTTTTGGTTGTCAAGCATCAAACCCTCTTTTGACCTATTTTGTTATTGCAGCAACATGAGTGCTTACAACGTGGGTGCTGGCGAGGAAGGGCTCGCACTAATCTTCTGGGATTCCCTTTTCTTTGGTTTGCTCGAGTTGCTGGAAGGGTGCCAATTTCCGTGTGAACAAAACTGTTGGTATGGGTTTCTACCTTTTCCTCTTCTTACTTTAATCTTGCTCTGACCTCTTTTTTGTATATAAAAAGGCTGAACTTGGCATGATGTGCTTTATTTTCTGATTTTCTCTCATTCTCTTCTTTCTTCTTCTTCTTCAAGACCCAAACCCGTGGGTATTGTGCATCAGTACATAAGTCATATTTCGGAAGCTCGGATCAGAAAACTTCCTCAATCAAAGTTGTTCATCTGCTCGAGTACTATAGCCAGTAAAATTTGCAGAATTTTTTGAAATTTTCTGATACCTCAAAGCTGGTTTGCAACTTCTGCATTCATCCATGGCTGGTGAGTTTTTGCAGATTTTTCTTCTGCATGTGTCTTTAACTTATGATACTCGTATGATTGCGCTTGCTTCACAAAATTTGCTTGAAATTATGTTGTCTATAACATATCCAAAATTGAGGATCATCCACCCATTCTAGTGCTCTCTACCTCCATTTTTCTAAAGCATGTTCATGAGTTGATGTTGATGCCTTTGTTGCATGCTTGTCTTCTATGCTTGAATGCTTGAGTTCCTCTGTATTTCCCAGAATTTGTGAACTAGAAATCGAATTCTAAGGTTGAGCTTTTGATTTAGGATTCTAGCTTGGTGATAAACAAGAGTTATACAAGCTCACTTGGGTATGCATGCCAAGTGTTTGTCAAAATATCTCAAAGTAGCTTGCTGGCTGCTTTTTGAACTTTTGAAATGTTTCTTTTCAAATCTGAGTTGGAGCTTTTGAGACATAAAAATGGATTTCTCAATGGTTATGTTGGAATTGGTCTTGCATCACTTGAAGAAAAAATAAATTTTCGGTGGAATTTCAAAGTAAGGGTTAAGGTGCTGGAGCTGTACAGTTTCTGCTGTGTGGGCTGTCTTAGAAATCTGTTTGACATGCTTCCCTAGCTCGAAATGCAACGAAATTTTGGGAAAATGAAGCTTGATATGTCTAGTTCTAATCTGGAAAGTCTGGGATTTGTTGGTTGTAAGCTTGATTTATAGTGATTTTCTAAAGGTTGGATATTCTAGCTAGGATGGTTGGAAAGCTTGTGTATAAGTTTTGCTTGGCATGTTGCTTTTGCTTGGGAATTTAGCATGTCCTTTCTGTTGGTATTGAGTGCTGATCTGAGTATTGCTAGAGCATGTTCTTGAGCAATATTGTCGTGAGAGCATGAAGTGGAATGGTATTGTCGCAAGAGCATGAGTTCTTCAATTTGCTTGAAATGCCCGAATTGCTTGGAATGCTTGAATGAAATGAAATTTCTTGGTATGTGAATTGGTATCACACCTTGTGAATTTTGTCAAATGCTTGATAGATGAGTTTGCTTGCACTTTGAGAAAATTATGCTTCCGGCACATCCGTTTGTGTATGAGTACCTTTCCGGCGTCTGATTTTGGCTAACATATTCTCTTGTTTTAAAAGCTCGAAAGCATGATAAAGCATGAGAAGTCTAATTTGATAGCATGAAAGTGAGTCTTGGTCTCTTGCAACTTGTCTTTGGAAAACATTATGCTTTAATAGCGATTCTACTTCCGGCACCCCCTTTCTGTTTACTAGTTCCCTTCCGGCACCTGATCTGGCCAACGTACTCCCTTGTTTCTTTTTCAGGCTTGATTGAGAGGTTCCAAAGCATGAGGAATGCCATCTTCTTACTGATTTGCTGGGATCTTGATAGAATAAAGGTGAGTTTTTCATCTTGACTTGCAATATGAAGGTTTATGAAAGATTCGAATTGCTTGATCGGAGGGACTTTGGGTGAGAAAGAGAACAAGCTAGTTCTTGAGGCCGTTTTGAGTTTTCTTCCAAAGATGTGATGAGTTTGTTGAACTGTTGCTGTGGGATAAATTTTACTAGCATGATGTTTGAAATAGGACAGGGGCTAAGAAGATTTGAAATAAGGCAAGCGCCAAAAATTCTTTGCTTGTAGAGTAGGAGTTGGAAGAATGTAACTTGGCTTGTTTCAAAAAGGGGAAATAGAAAACTGTTTCTCACCATAATGCAAGATTATCTAGGCTTGTTGTAATCAAAGAGATGATTTATACTGTGTGGCAAAAAAGGTAGATGGGTTTGCTTGTTTGGATGACACGGTGTCCTTCCTTGAATTTGCTTGGCATGAAGCCCTCAAGTCAGCTTGTTGAGGTTAGCAATTGGTTGAAGAGTTGGGTTATATTCTCTTTGGCTTACTCAAGGTCGAGAAACAAAGTAGAGGCCTGCTTGTAAACTTGCTTCAAAGAAGATTTTTGGAAGAAGTAGACTGAAGATGAGAAGGAAGAGGCTAAGCGAGTTGCTGGAAGAGATTCATACAGCTTGTTTTCCTCCAGATAAGTAACAAACAGTTTGCTTTCCTCCAAGAGGAAAATTGAAATTTACAACAGCTTCAGGATTCTTGTCTCTCTCTTTTGCTTGACATGAAGCCCCCAAGTCATTTGGAGTTTGCATGTGCTGTTTGCTATGATGGATTCTCTTAAGCCCCCATAAGCCTTTCGCAAGATGTTTTGTCTGAAAAGCTTTAAATTTTGCTGTAGTGCAATTGCATGAATAAAGCTTGTGATTTTTCAGGAGTTGTCGTATAGCCATGAGAAGAAGTTCTTGCAAGTATTAGTTGCCGAAGTATCCATCTTCAGAAAGACCAATTCTTAAGTATGCCTGAAAATAATGATGGTGCCAAAGTCTGCGCAGAAAAACATGGGGATAATTGCAATGATGGGTCAGCTGGTTGCATAAATAATGAGATCAACAATGGTGCTGAAGGAGATGGTAACGTGAAATAGAAGATACGATATTCTTTTAGCACCAACTACCCTTCTCCCGGCACCAACTACCCTTCTTCCAGCACCAACCTCCCTTCTTTCTCGGTGCATTTGAGGTCGTCCTTTGAGGTGATTGACAAGGTATGCACTTTCCTCTTTGCAATTTCTCGAATCTATCGAGGGGCTTGTTGGGTTTTTCATGCCCATGGGCTTTGCTCGTTCACTGGAATCTCAGGTCCTTCTTTTTAACTCTGTAGGAATAGATGTAGACTGATATCTTGGCCTAGGCTTGTTTTTCGCATGCTTGAATAAATTTGGACTTTTCTCCCATGTTGTGGAAATAGAAATTGACACAGTGCATGTTATGCAATGCTTAAATCCTTTTGCATTTTGAGGGAGAATTTGCTTGTCATGGGAATTGCTTGAAACTTTCACTTGCCATGGATAAATTGTATGCTGCTTGGGTATTTGCTTAAATGTTTCCTTTGGCCTGAGCTTGACTTGCCCTGCTTGGCGTATATTTTGCGTGTGCTGCGTTCTTGACCCGCCTTTTTGTTGTTGAACTATATGCATCACGAGCGCATGCTTGTAATCGTATGATTAATGCATAGGATTAGAGGCTATTGAAAGCTTTGAGAAAAGCACCATTGGTTTCTTTTTTTCTTTTTTTTTGCTTTTGGTCATGGATAACTGTTTAGTTTTTTGGCTTTATAGGGATAGACATAAACATGTGTATGATGGGTCTGCAAGGATGCTGTGTAACTCGTAGGTATTTCGTTTTTGTGAAAAAGGTTACTATGAGGTAAATAGTGCTCAATTTGTAGCACTTGCTTTGTGAAAAAGGGTCTGCTGGAATGATTGATTGAGCATGGAATGGGAAATTTGCTTATCATGAGCTCGAGTAATTAGATGATGCATGAAAATTCTTTATTTTTTTTTTTTTTTTTTTTTTTTTGTTATTTCGCTTGGCATGAGATAGCTTGCTTTGCTTGGCTTGTAAAGTTCATGTGGCTTGCATGCTAGTGTGGAGATTACTTGGCTTTAACACAGAGAACTAGCTTTATGCTTTGCCGTTTTTTCAGCGTATTCTTTGTTGGCGATTCTTGCAGGGATTCATCGCTTGTCAAGACCTGCCATGGCATCCACTAACCCGTCATCAATTATTAGTGGCCACCTTTATTCAACGGATGATAAATTGAAGAGGGGAAGGCCCCTCCATTGCTCAAGAATGCTTGTAAAGATGTTGCAGTAGGCGAAGAGCCAGTGTTGTCTTGCTGCGTTTGTATCATTATGGCTCGAGAAATTCCTCCTCTGTGACTTTTTCCAAGATTGTTTGCATGCGCAGGTGTTACCCTTGGCTTTAGCAATAGCGCATGGCGGCATGATTCCCATAGCCCCCATGTTCTTGAGACATCCGATGCAGGGGCAGACAATGCCCTGCTCCTTCTAGCAGTGCTGCCTCATACTCATCATTTTCTCGGAACATCCAACATAGCTGCCGGCACTGCCCTGCACCTTCCAGCAGTGCTGCCTCCTACTTATTTTCTTCTCAGAACATGCGACATAGCTGTCGGCGCTGCCTTGCATCTTCCAGCGTGCTGCCTTCTACTTCTCCTCTTCTCGAATATCCAACATCGCTGCCGGCACTGCCCTGCACCTTCCAGCAGTGCTGCCTCCTACTCATCCTCCTCTCAGAACATGTGACATAGCTGCCGGCACTGCCCTGCACCTTCCGGCAGTGCTGCCTCCTACTCATCCTCTTCTCAGAACATGCGACAAAGCTGCCGGCGCTGCCTTGCATCTTCCAGCATGCTGCCTCCTTTTATTTCGCAGGTTGTTTTCTTTGGCTTGGGGTCAGTTGGCTCGGTGCACAGCTTCCATCTTTCTTGATACCATAGGATGTACTAATCTCCAGCATGTGTAACCTTGTTTTTGTGATGGCTGTGTACTTTTCAGATAATCTAACGACTATGTCATTATGACTTTGTAATGTACTACTGAACCACTGGAACTTGCATTAATTTCTGAATGCTTGAGGCATGTTGTAATTCGTACATCTTATATATATATATATTGCTTGGTTGGGAGAACTTGCTCTTGTGAACTTCTTGAAATTTTCTGACGAGTTGGCGAGCCTTAAAAACAAGGTATATGCTGCCCAAAATTTTGACAGGACCTTTAAGCTAAATCTTCGATGCATTGTTCTTTAAAACTTTTGCAAGGCTCGTCTACTCATTTGGCCTAAAATGCACCCTCTTTCCGTGCCTTAAAAAGGGTCAGGCCACTATATGCATGATTTCCACGAAGGCTCCTGTAAGAATTGCCGGATGTTGTGAAGTTTTTTTAGCATTCCGATTGGGAGTCAACGGTTTCGTTATTCCAGCACCTCAAAATACACTTTTACTGCTCGTTTCTTTGTAATAGCTTGACTTTGCATACCCCACATCGTTTTGCTTAGGCTTGATGCTTGTTTCAGTTCGGGACCCCATCTAAGTGGCTTTGCTTGGTATAGTTACTACTGAGAGGCTTAGCCTTTTAATGAAAAGTTTGTTTGTCTATTTTCTTTTTCTTTTCAAAGAACACGTTTTGCAAAATAGAAGAAGATAAAAGTTAGGAAAGAATTCTAGAGGCTTTTTTTTTCTTTTTCCAAAATACTCCATTCTCCTTGCAAATATCGTTTTATGCCTTGGCATGCAATAATGGTGGTGCATTCTACCAAAGTTGTGAAAACATATGGTGAAAACACAAAAGGAGTTCATCTTTGAAATAAATTTGAAAAGCCAAAAACAAAAGGATAGGTGCAAAAGCAACTCAGTAGTAAGGCTTTGAGCCATTTTGCATTGATAAATACCCCCATCAAATTAAGCCCCCAAGTATGAAAGGGCCCAAGGTTGTGCATGACTTGCAATAGCATGAAAGCTTGTGGCTTAGGTTGGTATGTATTTGGCATGTGTTGTACTAGGATGCCATGCTCTGTAGAGATATTTAACAGAGCCACAGTTGCTGCTTTGCTTGCCTGCAGCTCATAACCCAACTAATCAAAGAGTGATTTGCAGCTCCTAACCCATTGTACTTTCTTCAACCTCTGTGAAGTTATGAGAGGTTACAACAGCTGCTTCTTGATAATCTTGATGACCAAATGAAGCCTCCGAGTTGCTTTCTTCCAGCATGTCCAATGTGAATACTTCGCTGCTGGAACCATTCTCCCATCAATTAGCAAGTAGCCATGGGGTGTTATAGCTTGCAGATTTTGAATATTTGCTCAAGTTGGCCTTCTTCATATTCCCACAAGGTTCCCACATAGCCTCCGGTGGCTTTGGGTCATTCTTCCACAGGTGGCACAATACGTCGTCGTCGAGCAAGTCATCAAAGCACGTAATGACAGTAGCCATCTACTTTCCCCTTCGTTTTGGCAAGGGGTCCTTGTCAATAGCTTGCCTCTTAGAGTTTTGTCATGTATCTCGGCGTGTAAGATCTTCCTTAGAGTATGGCAAGCAGTGGTGGATGTTGCAGGTGAAGAATGGATGAATATAGGAAAATACGCTTCCAGCACCCCTTTTCTTGAAAGCTTGACATCGCTTCAAAAATTCTGATTGCTTGGTAAAATAAACTTCATCTTGACAGCATTTAGGTTCTTCCAGCAGTATCATAACACTACCTTCGCAATATTTTCCTTTCATTTGCCATGAATTGAGATGTTTTCCTTCTTGAGTAAAGCATAGTGCTTGGATTTCTTGACTAAGGCTCGGGGCTTGATGATGCTTGATTATGGAATTGTGGCAATTGAGACATCCCGATAGCCTTTTGGTTTTGACTCCTAAACTTGGTCATTGGAATGATCAAGGCTTAGAAAGTGCTTGAGGCGTTGGAGCATATCAGTTATGGCAACTTAGGTATTGTTTGTTGCAGCTGTTGTGAACATGTTTTAGGAACCAAAAGCTTGGACTTGGCTATTGAAGCTTGAGCTTTGTATGTGGTCACTGCAGCAAATGTGTTGGGTTACAACAACAAGTGATGGCGAACTTGGAGATCATAGTAACATAATTGGGATTTCAAGGAGATTTTTGGTCTGGGAATAGTGGTTTTGGTAATAATGGATTTTTAAGCTCATTTGGGGTTTTGGAATCACTGCCGTGGTGATTGCAATGAATTCCTTCCTCAGCCCCCAAGTGCACCATAATCATCAGAAAAGGATTTGATGGGCACAGGCTACAAAAACTCTTGCAACATGGCCTTCTTAGTATTTGTTTGGGTTATTGCATGGCATGATGAACTTGGGATATCCCTTTGTTGCTGGCATCATTCGGTGGTAGCATGTGCTTCTGGCAGTGACTCTTCCAGCAGTGGTGTTTGGATTTTGACTGGCTCTGTTCTTCTTCCACCCTTCCAGCGGCTCTTTCAGTGGTGCTTGAACTTCTATGACTGGAAGTATAGAGAGAGATTTGTCTAAGGAATAGATGATAATGGCAGTGTGTTGAGATGTTGGGTAGGAAACATGAGAGCATTTGTTTTCTTGTTTGTTGTTTGGAGGCTTGGGTCCCTTGCACATGACCGATATAATGCTGCATGACCAAAGCATAAAAATAATATAAGCATTGTAGCTTGCAAATGACTAACATAATTGACATAAGCATGCTGGGCAGGTATGATTTTAGTACTGAGCATGCATAGTTGGCATCTACATTGCAATGTGTAACTTGGATTGATTAACACAAAGGTGGATCGATACGAAATGATAAGAAGTAAGATAAGTGAATAGTGCGTGGAATAAGGCCCTGAGAAATTTTGCTGGAGATGCAAAATTGAAAGGTGGTTTAATACATAACAAGAAAATGATGCAAGCTGGTGCACCATATGAATATCAACTAATCAATCAATCTTTTTTTTTGGACTTGAATGCACATGCTTTTGTCTATGCTTGAGATTGTTCAATGAAACATAAATTTTATGGATATCCTAAAACAACAAACAAATATATATACTATATTGAGATCAACAAGGCATGATAATAAAAATCTTATCTTGGTGAAGCCATTCGCAGAGATGAGGCTGAGAGCATTGAGCAAGTGTTCCTTCTCCCTCTCTCACCGTGTTTTCACAACTCTAGAGAGGTGAGGGCTGCTATGAAGGTGATTTACGGCGATGGCCAGACTTGCTGATGATGTATCATGGCGGAGAGGTGAACGGCAGAGCTAGCCTCAACCATTGACGACGGTGGTCAGCGGCTTGCACGTTGGCTGAAGCCCCCAGTCCTCTTACAAGATATTGTTTTGCTTGAGAATGGATATCTAAGACACAAGCAAAGGGAGCATGTGAGTAATCTATATTATGTTTGTTCTACAAAGTAGATAGCCAACGAAAGGAAAAAGAAAAAGAAAGAGGGAATGCTCTTATCTCTTTATTTCCTTCGGTTTATTGCTTCTGGTCTTCTTCTTTGGAGGCATTGGTGCAGATAGTGGCTTAATCCCCAGCGGAGTCGCCAATTTATGTAGGGGCTTTTTTCTTCCGGCAGCTACTACGGGCCTGACTGCCGTAAAGGGCAAAATGGAAGAAATTGCCCCTTGAGCCTGAGTTCGAAAATTAAGCCCCAAAATACCTCGAAAAGGCAGTAGAGCCTTAGGAAGTATTTTGGTTATCTTCACCAACCAAAATAATGGCAGCTTACAGGTAATTTCTTCATGCTTACAGATAAACTTTTGAGTTTGGCATGAGGGGCTTGTGGCATGGGAGCAAAATTAGCATGAGTTGAGCACCAAAAAGGAAATATGGCTTCCTAGGGAGAAAAGGGAGTGTTTAAGGTGAGGAAGAAGAGGTTTTCAAGCATATGTGGCTAGGAAGAGAAAAGGGAAGAACTATGTTCTTCTGGCAGCTTGTCAGAAGAAGAAAATGGAGGAAGATGAACAGTGCACGAAATTGCTGGTTTTTGCAAGTATGAGAGGAAGCTTGCTCTCTGGTTGTGGATGATTTTTGTTGGGTAGAAGAGGCCCTAATTTATAGCCGCTGGAAGCTGATATTTTCCAAGAAAACCTAATGGCTTCTACCCATTTTGGCTAAGCTTTTCCTTCCTTTCTCCCTTCATCTCTTCAATCATCCCTTTTTGGTGAAATCCACTCTACCCATTTGCATAAAATCAGGGATTTTTTGGGAGCTCAAAGCCCCCTTTCCTGCGGCTGTTTCAGACTTCTATTTTCAGCCATCTTTCTTCCTTCTTTTCTCTCATTTTCCAAGGCTAGGTCTGATGAGGGAAGGAATGGGTATGCATGCTGGTTCAAATGGTGATCTGCGCTCCAATATCCCTTGGTCATTTGGAAGTTTTTGCTTGAAACTTGTTTCTCCCATGTGCTGGAGCTTTCCAGCAGCTTTCACACATGGATATTTTGGCTTTCAACGTGGCTTTTGTTTTCAGCTAGGCGCTGAAGATTTGCAGATATATATTTTTTTGGGTTGCTTGGGCCTTCTATGACAATAAGTTGGTTTATCAAGTACATGGGCTAACTTCATCAAATATTGGGCTAGTTTGGTTGAAGTGATGGGCTATTTTGGTTGGAGTAATGGGCTATTTTGGTTGGGCTACTTTCTCTTTTGTGCTCACCCACATGTTTGGGCCTAAGAAATGGGCTTGGGTTCCGAGGCTCCCAAGTAACCCGGAACCTCCACTTCTTGGTCCATCAATGGGCCTCATGACAATTTATTACCATCCATACCACAACCCACTCAAGCAAGCCCCGGGTATTTGAGTGGCTTGGGGCCCACTTAAGCTTGTGGCGTGATTAGGTGCGGAATGATAATTCCTTGCTTAGCGTGGCGTGTCGTTTGGCGTGGCATGTGTGCAAGCACATATGATGAACTTTCGCATGCCCAAATCGGGTTTCTTCTTGGTAAAGCATCGCATTGGGTCGAGAATTTATTTGGGCCGAACCGTGAATATTTTGGGCCTCAACAACGTTTAACAAAAATAATCCTCGTCGGTAACAAATACATTACGTCGTTTTATTCTTACTTAAGACGACAAGAAAAGACGACGGTATAACAAAAACAGTCGTTGTTTTATATTTTTATTTGATTTAAATCAGTCACCTAGAAAAGAAACTTTATAAATTCTAGAACATTAATTTCCTCGGGAAAAAAAACTATATCTATAAGGCACTGTTTTTGAAAAATAAACTATAAGAAAAAGGGGAAAAAAATTATATTATAATAAAAAAAATAAAATCCACGTCGGTTATATTACACATAACGACGTTTAAAAACGAATCCACGTCGCGAAAAAAATAATACGTCGTTTTAGTTTAGTGTTATCCACGTCGGTATATTACAATAAAACGACGTATATTATAAAAATAAACGTCGTAAATTTAAAAAAACCGTCGTGTTAAATATTTCTACCATGACGCGAGATATTGAGTTATCGACTTTTATTTAGGAGTTTACTACGGCGGTACCTACAACACTACTGTCGTATTTATGTACCACGTCATAAGTTCAAATTATCGTCGTAGTTTGTCTATTAATACGTCGTCGTTCTATGTAAACCGCCGTCTTATTACTATGAAACGGTTTGTATACATATACAACTTTTCGTCTACCTGACTTACACATGCACTGTTTCCAAACCCGAGAAAAAATTTCAATCTCCCAGAGAAAACTTTTCGTCTTTTTTCCTTGTCAGAGCACTGTCAGAGTATTTCATCGTCTTCCTCTTGTCTTCGTCGTCGCCTCTGAACTTAAACACCAAAATCCGAGAGAAAGCTTTCATTGCACGCAAAAGGTAAGCTTTCATTTCTCACTATTTTTGTTGCTATTTTGCATGCTCATACGGTTTTTGTTTTGAAAATCTTTTTACCTTTTTTCTGGCGAAAATCATTTTTATTCTTTCCAAGTTTGATAAAATACACAGACAGAGAGGGAAAGTTTCCAACTTTGAACACAACTAATTCAACTAAATAAGACGACGGTAGCTTCTTATTTACGTGGTTAAATATGTAGACCACGACGGTTCGTCAGTCGTCCTAGCGTCGTCTTAAAATTGATCTAAGTTGTTTTTAAAATGACGGTCAATTTTTTATTTGCTTGTTTAGTTGCAGGTTTGATTTCTCTGAACCATGGTTTTTGTTTTTCCTAATTTGATAAAATACAAAGACAAAGAAAGTAGGGTTTGGTATCTTATATAGACGACGGTATCTTATTATGGACGCCGTGTGAATGTTCATACCACGACGTTATACTAAGATACCGTCGTCTATAAAAAGATGCCAAAGCTTTCTTTCTTTTTCTTTGTATTTTATCAAATTAGGAAAAACAAAAACCATGTTTCAGAGAAATTAAACCTGCAATCAAACATTCACAGAGAAAGAAAAATGTTTTTGGTTTCTTATAAATACGACGGTAGCTTATTATTCACGTCGTGTGAATATCCATAACACGACGTTATATTAATATTTACGTCGTGTTAATATGAATATCACGACGTCGTGTAAATATCGCCGTAATAAGTTCTTATTACGTCTTATTTAATATTGTTTCGTCGTTGTTTAAACATTTATATTGTTTCTTCTTTAAACATTTATTACGTCTGATGTTATGTTATTACGTCGTGTAAAATCTTATCATACGTCGTATTTTATAAATAACCGTCGTTTGTGTTCTAATTTTTTTCCCGAAATATTTTCACTTGCAGGTTTGTTTTTTCTGTAACCATGGTTTCTCAAGACCAAAGTAAGGACTCTGGCTCCAAAAAAAATGGAGGTAAGGAGCTTGGAATGGTAACTCCTCAAGACAAGCCCTTGAAGAAGATGAAGTTTGTTTCATCTGCTGAGACAGAACCAAGCAGCACGACAACAATTTCTGAGGATTCAAAGTCAGGTCGAGGTATGAGCACAATGCCTCGTGTTGTGAAGAGAAAATTGCAGAAAATCAAGCCAGTTGTTGAGTACAATAAAAGGGGGAAAGGATGTGGCCCTGCACATACTGAGATGCAGTCCTACATTGGTGTGTTGGCACGCTCCAGAGTCCCACTTGTGGACAAGAAATGGGCTGAAATCCCCAAGGATATAAAGGAACAGATTTGGGAAGCCGTTGACATGGCTTTTGTGGTAGGTCAAGGGGGCAAGACCTCGGTGTTATCTTCTGCTGCCAAGAAATGGAAGGATTTCAAGTCTACACTGACGAGGCATTATATCCTTCCATACATCAAGGAGAGGGAGAAATTAAGCCAACCCCCTGAAGTATATAAATTCATAGAGAAAGCAGAATGGGATGCCTTTGTAGCTTCAAGGTTATCCAAAGAATTTGAGTTTGTGCATTCTCAACATTCACAGATTAGGGAGAAACTTGAGTACAATCATCGATTGTCTCGAAAAGGATATGCTGGTTTGGAGGATCAATTGGAGGAAACCATGCCTGGGGTAGAAATTGATCGATCTACCTTATGGAAGAAAGCTAGACAGGACAAACATGGTAACATCCCGGATCCAAAGGTGGCAGAGAAAGCAAAATTAATTGTAAGCCTACACACTCTGTTTTAAATTTTTATTAAACTGTGTATAATTCTTATTACGTCTTATGTTATATTTTTCCGTCGTGTGAATGATTTTACTACGTCGAAATATTTTAAAAAACGTCGTGAAAGATCTAAATCTGGAATCACAAGTCTGTTTTCTGTAATTATAGCATAAGACGTCGGTGGTTAATTTTTTTCGTCGTGTTAATGTTATTACTACGTCGAAATGTTTTCAAAAACGTCGTGAAAGATCTAAATCTGGAATCACAACTCTGTTTTCTGTAATACAGCATAAGACGTCGGTGGTTTATTTATTGCGTCGTTTTAAACAACTAACCACGTCGTTTTTAATTAACGTCGTTATAAATATATTATAACGTCGATTTCTATATTGGTGCGTCGTTTGTTTATAAATAACCGTCGTGTGTTTTCTTGTGCTCACTTTTTTGTATGTCTTTGTTTTAGGATGAATTGCAAAAACAAGTGGCTGAAGGCAGTCTGAGTTTAACTGGCAGTAATGATGTGTTGACCTTGGCTTTGGGTCCCGAGCATCCAGGGAGAGTAAGAGGGGTAGGTGCTGGGATTTCCCCTAGGCAATTCTTCAATTTACCTAGACCACAGAGGGTAAAGTTTGCCAATCAATTGAAGGAAAGTGTAAGAATTGTCCTTCAAGAAGAGACTAAGAAGATGGAAGCTAGAACCAAACAATTAGTAGAGGCTGAGAGGGAACATTTACTAAGTCAGCTTTCCCACCTCATCCCCAATTTTGATCCAAGCATGCTTAAACCGAAAACTAGCCCCTGTCAAAACCAAGGTCTACAGCAAAGTCCCAAAAATCCAATGTCTGATAAAGCAAGCTGTTCTGGGCTGAAGTGAGATCCCTACATTTAGAGGATGATACTGCCAGAAATGGGGAACAGCAGGAAGAAACGGTAACATATCTGAACTTTGAATTCTCTGTTTTTTTTAAAACATTAGACGTCGTTATTATGAATAAACCCGTCGTTTTAAAACCATACCACGACGATTTTATAAATAAACCGTCGTTTTTATTTAAATACCACGTCGTATTTAGTTTACTTGTTTTACACGCCATTAGACGTCGTACTTTGTGGTTTTTAGACGACGGTTTTAGTCCTTAACGACGTAATAGACAATTACCACGACGTTTATTATTTACCATCGTTTAATAATTTTAAGACGTCCATAATTCTTACATACCGTCTTATGTTATGCCTTACCACGACGTTTTGATTTAATTTTTTTACTCTCTGTACAATCTGTCTTATATATATATTTCTTTATTATTTAAAACAGAAATCTGGGGCTTTAGATAATCAAGATGAAGAGAAGAAAGAAGAAAATAAAGATGAAGAGAAGATGGGAGAAAAAAAAGATGAAGGGAAGAAGGAAGAAAAAAAAGAGAAAAAAGATGAAGGCAAAAAGGAAGACACAAATGATGAAGAGAAGAAAGAAGAAAAACAAGATGAAGAAAAGCATGACGAGGAGGTATATTCTCATAACTTTGCCTTTTTAATTTGTTTTTCACATTTCAGACGTCGATATTTTTCTTTAAACCGTCGTTTGTTTTCACATTAGACGTCGGAATTTATTTTCTACGACGTAATAAATTATCTAAAACGACGGTATTTTAATTACCGTCGTTTAAATTATAATCAGACGACGTTTTTTAATTTAAACCGTCGTTTTTAATGAATTACCACGTCATTTTATTTTGCTTTATTTCTTTAAACAGGGTAATGAAGTAGTTGATTATTCAAATGTGGAGGTGCCATCTTCCTTACAATCCCTTTGTGGTTATGTGGAAACTACACTAAAGCCACAGGGGAAGATCATGACCTTCAACATTGAGAAGGAGGTGTTTGGTGCAGATCGAGGTACCTTCGTCTTGCATGAAGATATTACACAGTTTGCAGGCATGGAAGAAATTGGGGCTACTGTGGTTGCAGTATATATGAGGTTTGTCCTAATCAAATATCAAACATTATATCATAAGACGTCGGTGGTTTAATTATTGCGTCGTTTTAAACCACTAACCACGTCGTTCTTTTTTACCGTCGTGATAAATTAGTTATCACGTCTGTTTCTATTTCAGTTCGTCGTGTGAAATTGTATAATACGTCGTTTGTTTATAAATAACCGTCGTTTGTTTTATATATTTAGGTGCTTATATGATCTTTTGAGAGAAGCAAATATGTGCAGCATGGTTGGCTTTATCGACCCTGCTCAAGTTAGTGCCAACGCTGGGTCACTAACTGACAGATCACGAATTGTAGCCAGTCGACTTCAGAAAACAGATGGTGAACAGATTTTCATGATGCCTTACAATCCAGGGTTAGTCTCCTTAAAAGGATTTTGTTTGTATGATTTTCACTAACTGACCACTTATAAAACTGTTTAACTAATTCTGTGTCGTTTGAAACATCTAACCACGTCGGTTATTTATTTATTGAGTCGTTTGAAACAACTAACCACGTCGGTAGTTAATTATCGTCGTGATAAATTTATAATGACGTCGATGATTAAGTTATTACGTCGTGTGAAACTATATAATACGTCGGTTTTTATAAATAACGTCGTTTGTTTTCTGGTGCTGACTTTTTATTAACCGTCGTTTTTTATTTTATTTTTGTGCAGCCGTCATTGGGTCTTGCTGATTGTGAGGGCAAAGAGGGAAACCGTCTATTTTCTGGATCCTCTGCCTGGAAATCGTGTGGTTGATGAGGAGGGCAAAAACATCGTGAACAGTGCTTTAAAAATTTATAATTCCCACATAGGCAGACCAGGCCGTAAAGCACCAATTTGGAAAACTCTGCCAGGCACACCAAAGCAACCCAGCAGTGTCGAATGCGGGTATTATGTGATGCGCTTCATGAGGGACATCATCATGGATCCTTCCTTGGAGTTTGAGAAGAAGGTAAGAAGAAAATTTTCAGAAACATTTTATGTGGTTTTTTGTATTATCAACGACGGTCATTTAAAATTACCGTCGTTGAATCGATAGACTACGTCGGTTATGAAAAAAAACGTCGTCTGTGTCTGAATTTCTTTTTATTTTGTAAAGCTTAATAATCATTGTTTATGGATTGCAGTTTGCCAAGGGAAAAGATCAAGCGCCATACCCCCAAGCAGCCATTGATGAAGTCCGGAAAGAATGGGCAGAGTTTGTTTGCCTTCATATGGATTAGAGGATTTTTGGAACACTTGATATTTTTATATGTACTAATTTTGTCTATAATATATAATGTACAAATTTTGTCTATAATATACATCCTTTTTTTCCCTGAAAATTTGCTGAGGTTTTCATAATATAAAAGAAAAAACAAATTGCGTAACCGACGTGTAATAACTTTCCAACGACATAATTATGTAAAAAACCGACGTAAAATGATATTTAGACGTGATGGGACGTACATGGGACGTCGTTTTGATGAAAATTTCGCCATGGTTTCGCTTTTAAACGACGTCCTTTTGAACAAGTAAGTCGTTTATTAGGGTTTAGGTTAATACCTTTTAACGACGGTGATTCGGTCGTGGAATATGTATTTTACGTCAGATGGTGAAACATCCGCCATGGTTTCTCTTTTAAACGACGTCCTTTTTACATGTGAGTCGTTTATTATTATTTACAACGTCGTGGTTTGTTGTTGATATAAGAATATTTTATTATTTTTAATTCAAAATTTTAAAAATAAATTTAAAATAAATTCAAAAAATTCAACTTCAACTCCTATGAAGTCATTGATATATTTTCTTCCCCCTAAACCCCAAAAAAATGCAGTTTGTGTAATAAAAGTTTAAAATGACCAACCAAAATAAAATTGTTTTGATGAGTCATAGCATCACTTATATAGTTTGATGGTTTAGGGTTTAGGGTTTGGGGTTTAGGGTTGTTATTTATTAGGGTTTAGGGTTAAAGTATAATTTTTGGGGTTTAGGGTTTATGTTTGTTATTTATTAGGATGTAAAACCATAAACAATTTTATAAAATTAAATTTTACAAATATATAATTTATGGTTTTAAAGTTTAGGGTATTACTTTTAACGACGGTGATTGAGTCGTGGAATATTGAGTTTACGTCGTATGGTGAAAAATCCGACGTGGTTTCTCTTTTAAACGACGTTTTGTTTACCTGTTAGTCGTTTATTATTATTTACAACGTCGTTAGTTACTTAACCCCGCCGTGGTTTGTTGTTGATATAAGAATATTTTATTATTTTTAATTCAAAATTTTAAAAATAAATTCAAAAAATTCAACTTCAACTCCTATGAAGTCATTGATATATTTTCTTCCCCCTAAACCCCAAAAAAATGCAGTTTGTGTAATAAAAGTTTAAAATGACCAACCAAAATAAAATTGTTTTGATGAGTCATAGCATCACTTATATAGTTTGATGGTTTAGGGTTTAGGGTTGTTATTTATTAGGGTTTAGGGTTAAAGTATTATTTTTGGGGTTTAGGGTTTATGTTTGTTATTTATTAGGATGTAAAACCATAAACAATTTTATAAAATTAAATTTTACAAATATATAATTTATGGTTTTAAAGTTTAGGGTATTACTTTTAACGACGGTGATTGAGTCGTGGAATATTGAGTTTACGTCGGATGGTGAAAAATCGGACGTGGTTTCTCTTTTAAACGACGTTTTTTTACCTGTTAGTCGTTTATTAACATTTACAACGTCGTTAGTTACTTAACCCCGCCGTGGTTTGTTGTTGATATAAGAATATTTTATTATTTTTAATTCAAAATTTTAAAAATAAATTTAAAATAAATTCAAAAAATTCAACTTCAACTCCTATGAAGTCATTGATATATTTTCTTCCCCCTAAACCCCAAAAAAATGCAGTTTGTGTAATAAAAGTTTAAAATGACCAACCAAAATAAAATTGTTTTGATGAGTCATAGCATCACTTATATAGTTTGATGGTTTAGGGTTTAGGGTTTGGGGTTTATTTATTAGGGTTTAGGGTTAAAGTATAATTTTTGGGGTTTAGGGTTTATGTTTGTTATTTATTAGGATGTAAAACCATAAACAATTTTATAAAATTAAATTTTACAAATATATAATTTATGGTTTTAAAGTTTAGGGTATTACTTTTAACGACGGTGATTGAGTCGTGGAATATTGAGTTTACGTCGTATGGTGAAAAATCCGCCATGGTTTCTCTTTTAAACGACGTTTTGTTTACACGTAAGTCGTTTATTGTTATTTACAACGTCGTTAATTACTTAACTCCGACGTGGTTTTTCATAGTTTTAACGCCTTTTTTGATTTTGCGTCGTACATAGTTTTACCACGACGTCCTTAATGTAATAAGCGTCATGTTTAATGTTAAATTTTAACGACGCTTGTTTTTTCGGTCGATGTTTTAAAAGAGCGCGCTTTCTTAAAATATTCGCGGGACCTAAAATTTTCAGATTTGGCTCTTATTTTTATACTTCTAACCCTGAACCCTAAAATTTTCAGATTTCGCGCAACATAACATTTCGCTCTCTCACTTCATCTCTAATTCAAAGTTGGGCCAGGCTGTGTCAAATCCAATTTGGTCATAATCTGTGAGCTCTGCCAACCTGTAAGTACAAACCCTCTCTTCCCCTTGTAAATTCATTGAATGATATATTACGTTGTTTTGTTAAAGGGTTTTAGGTATATGTTTTGCGATCTGTTAATAATGTTGTTGGAGGTATGGGTTCATGGATTTTCTGTTTAATGTTTTCTTGATCACTCTCTGTTATGTTGAATATGGAATGGATTTCATTTTGTCGGATCTTTTAATCACTCTCTGTTATGTTGAATTGGGAATGGATTTATTGTTTTCATGCTTAGTATATGTTGGTTTCATGTATATGTTGGTTTCTTGCTTGGTTTCATGTCTATGTTGTGTTCTTAATAGGGTTTTGGGATCTTGAAAATAAACTGGATATCGACGCGTTTTCAGGCATACGACGACGGTTTTTACTTTAAACCGTCGTTTTTATTACTTATACACGACGGTGTTATTTAACTACCGTCGTGGTTATAATTAGACGACGTAAAATCCGTCGTCTATATATGTCAAATACGTCTGTTTTTGTTTAAAAACCGTCGTCTCTGTTGTATATTACTTGCTATTAGACTTTATATAATCTGCTATAGTGATGGTCATTGCTTGTCTTTTCACTTTATTATATATAATAGGGTATAGTGTCGGAGATGGATAAGTCATGGATGCACTCGGATAGAAGATCGAAGGCATATGAGTTAGGGGTGGAAGCATTTTTGAACTTTTCTGTAGAAAATCTTCTAACTACCACACATATCCGTTGTCCATGTGTTAAATGTGTTAATTTGAAATTGTTTGGGGTTGGAATTATAAGGGATCACTTATACTTTAATGGAGTTGACCAAAGCTATAAGAATTGGACATTTCACGGAGAACCTTGGGAAGCAACTACTAATGCTAGTAGAAATGTTGAAGAAGATGATGACCATAGTAGGTACAGTTTTGTGTCTGAAGAAATAGAGATGGATGATAATGATTTTGGTGATTTTGGATCTGATCCTTATGAGTTTGCCAATGTGATTGGGGATGGAGATCAACCATTGTACCCTGGTTGTAGAAAGTACACGAAGTTATCGGCATTAGTGAAGTTGTATAATTTGAAGGCAAAATATGGGATGAGTGATGTCTGTTTTACAGAATTATTGATACTTCAAGGCGATTTGCTTCCAGAAGGAAATACAATACCGGCCTCTATGTATGAGGCAAAAAAGACTTTGTGTGCATTGGGGCTGAGTTATGAGAAAATGCACGCATGCCCCAATGATTGCATCTTGTATAGGAAGGAGTATGAGGATTTAACTCATTGTCCTAATTGTGGTATCTCAAGGTGGAAGGAAGGCAAAGATTCAATCTTGAAAGAGGGTGTGCCAGCGAAGGTGGTGTGGTATTTTCCTCCAATTCCAAGGTTTAAAAGGATGTTTCGATCACATGAGACCGCTAAGAGTTTGACTTGGCATGCTGCTAGAAAATCAATTGACGGTTATATGTCTCATCCAGCGGATTCCCCGTCTTGGAAACTTCTTGATGATAAATGGCCCGAGTTTGGTAATGAGCCGAGAAACTTGAGATTGGCTCTTTCATCTGATGGATTCAATCCCCACAGTTCTCTAAGTAGCAGATATAGTTGCTGGCCAGTTATCTTAGTTACATATAATCTCCCTCCATGGCTGTGCATGAAACGAAAGTTCATGATGTTGACCTTATTGATTTCGGTCCTAAACAGCCCGGAAATGATATAGACGTCTACTTGGAGCCTTTGATTGATGATTTAAAATCTTTGTGGGATGGGATTGGAGGAGTGTATGATGCACATAATGGAGAATACTTTACACTCAGAGCTGCATTAATGTGGACAATTAATGATTTCCCCGCCTATGGAAACTTATCTGGTTGTGTTGTTAAAGGATATAAAGCTTGTCCAATATGCGGCGATGATACACCTAGTCACAGGTTGAAAAATGGCCACAAAATTTGTTACATTGGGCATAGAAAATGGTTACCGATCAATCATCCATATAGGAGGCAACGTGCAGCTTTTAATGGGAAACCTGAATATGGCACGCCTCCTGAGCCATTAACCGGAGAAGAAGTGCTGCATATGGTTGAAGATGGTGACAGAGTTTGTTGGAAGAAGAAATCAATATTCTTTGATCTCGAGTATTGGAAATACCTTCCTGTGAGGCATGTCCTAGATGTTATGCACATTGAGAAGAATGTTTGCGATAGTATCATTGGTACATTGCTGGAGATCCCTGGAAAAAATAAAGATGGGATTGCTGCTCGATTAGATTTATTGAACATGGGGGTCAAAACTGATTTGCAACCCGAGTATGGAGAAAGACGTACTCGTTTGCCTCCCGGGCCTTGGAATTTGTCAAGAGCAGAGAAGAGAGAGGTTTGCAATTCTTTCTATGGTATGAAGGTCCCTAAAGGTTATTCTTCAAATATAAAAAATCTTGTATCTTTACAAGATTCAAGACTTCTTGGCCTTAAATCACATGATTGTCATACATTAATGCAACAATTGCTCCCTGTGGCAATTCGTTCTGTTTTGGAGAAGCCTGCAAGGTATGCAATAACTCGTTTGTGCTTCTTCTTCAATGGTATATGTGCAAAGACTGTTGATGTTTCCAAGCTAGATAAGTTGGAAGAAGATGTAGTAGTTACTTTGTGTTTGCTTGAGAAGTACTTTCCCCCTTCATTCTTTGATATCATGGTTCATCTAGTAGTACATCTTGTCAGAGAAGTTCGTCCCGAAGGTTGCATTGCTGAGCGGTATATAGCTGAAGAAGCTGTAGAGTTTTGTACCGAGCATTTATCTGATGTTAGTACAGTTGGAGTGCCTTCAAGCCAAAAGATGGGAGTTTCAAAGCCATTATCAGGTTGCACAGTGAGCGTAGTTGATCGAGACCTGTTGAACCAAGCACATCTATATGTCTTGGAGAATACGGAGGAAGTCCTACCTTATATCGAGTACGTATGAGTTTTATTCTTTAAGTTTCCATTTTAAATTATTTCTTATGTTTATCTTATATGTTTGGGACCGTAATACTTGAATTTTGTGTGTCATGTAGGCAACATATGATCCACATCCAGACCGCTTATCCAAAATTTAGAAAGAGAACAAAGTGGCTGCAGGATAAGCACAATAGCACTTTCATTCAATGGCTACACTTCAAGGTATATGTTATTGAATAACATATTGGACTTTTAATTTTCTTCTTTCTATGTTAGATTGAATTAAGTTATGATTAATTTGCAGGTTCAAAGTGAACTTAATGAGGAAGACAATCATGGCGTATCAGAAAATTTAAGGTGGCTAGCACTGGTCCAAACATGGCAGTGCCATTATATAGGAGCTATCTCATTAAAGGTATTAAATTCAACATCAAGGCACAAGATGATGTGCGGACAACTCAAAATAGTGGAGTTTATTTACTTGCACATACTATGCAAGTTGCTAGTGCCAAGGATAAAAACCCAATTATCTCAAATATGGGTTTCTATGGTGTCATTCAAGAAATTTGGGACCTTGACTACCAAAAGTTTACAATCCCAGTCTTTAGGTGTGATTGGATTGATAATACTTCTGGTCTTGTAGTGGACGAACTTGGATTTACCCTTGTAGATTTGAGTAAAATTGGACATAGGAATGACCAATTTGTTTTGGCTTCTCAAGTCAAACAAGTATTTTTTGTTGACGACCCGATGCATCGTGGTTGGTCGGTAGTGTTATCAATGCCTAATAGAGAATATAATGATGTTATTGGTGATGATGTCTTAGGTGATGTGAGAATTGAGTGTGAGCCATTTACTAGGGGGATGCCAAATGTTGACACATTTGATGAAGTGGTGGTTGAGTTAGGGAGTCAAAATATTCGAGATGGGTGTGAAGATATATGGGTTGAATGATGCTTTATGTAATTGGCAGTGTATGACATTAATTTTGTAATATATTGTAATGTGATTTCTTCACTTTCATTATACAGGTTTTGGCCACAAAACAATCAGTACAAAAATTACTGGTTCCAGATTACAAACACGACGGTTTTGATAAAAATGTGAAAAACAAACGTCTGTTCTAATAAATAACGACGTTTTGGAGCATTCAACGACCGCAATATATTTACCGACGTCTTAAAGCAAAGTAACAATGAAGAACCACGACGCTATTGTGAAACAGTTATCCAGGATAACACGTCGGACAAGCATAAAGAACCGCCATGTAATTCAAAATAACACGACTCCAATCCCATAATACCGACGTCTAAAAGACGAGAACTTTAACCTGAACGTTACAAAAGACGACGTCGTCATGAATTTACCACGTCGCATGTTCTTTCATAAACGAAGTGGAAAAGGATGAATTCACGACGGTATTTGAAGTCCATTAAATTTGTCGACGTTAAGATTTATGAATTAGACGACGTTAATTTTTTTAATGAAGACGTATAAATTATTAAACACGACGGTCTTTTTCATGGTAACGACGTTGTATATAGACGACAACGTCGTCCTTATAAATTACTGTGTCGTAATTAATGACCCCATCATTTTTTCCACGTCGTTTATTTTCAAAATATGACGTATAAATTCTGTAATACGGCTCTCATTTATTTGGAACCGACGTTGTTTATTCATTTCAACGTCGTCTCTGTAAATACATACGTCGTAAGTAATGAACCTGACATCTATTTCCACGTCATAATTCGTAGAAAAATCGAAGTGAAAAATTTATTTTACGACGGTATTTGAAGTCCATTAAACTTGTCGACGTTAAGATATATGAATTAGACGACGTCAATTTTTTAAATGAAGACGTATAAATTATTAAAGACGACGGTCTTTTTAATGGTAACGACGTTGTATATAGACTACAACGTCGTCATTATAAATTACTGTGTCGTAATTAATGACACCATCTTTTTTCACGTCGTTTATTTTCAAAATATGACGTATAAATTCTGTAATACGGCTCTCATTTATTTGGAACCGACGTTATTTATTCATTTCAACGTCGTCTCTGTAAATACATGCGTCGTAAGTAATGACCCTGACATCTATTTCCACGTCATAATTCATAGAAAAATCGAAGTGGAAAATTTATTTTACGACGGTTGTGGGAAATGTTGTGACGTAGTAGGTGTCAATAACGTCGTCTATTATGATTGTAAAGACGTCATATTTATATTTGTCGTTAAATATTTATTTAACGGCGTTAAGTTTTAGTTCTCGTCGTTGTATGTTTATCTTGCGGCCATGTTCTGTTAATATATGTCATCTGTTTCCTTTTTAACGACGTTTTTTTTGTTGGAGTTGGTCGTCTATTCTCATCCTCGACTGTTTTTTTATGTCTTTTTGCAGCACAAAGACGTCGGTTTTTATTTTTGATGACGTTTTTTGTTTTAACGACGGTTATTCACCGTCGTGGTTTGGTTATGGAAAAGATGTCGGTGGATTCCACGACCATTTGAAAACAGAATACACGACGGTGAATTCCCGTCGTGTTTTTCCTTTTTTGTAGTAGTGTGATAATGATTCTGGGAGAAAGGTTGACTGGAAGAAGTTGGTAGAGTTGAGAGAGGCTAAAAGTTGTGGTGGACTTGGGTTTCTAGATTTGGTATCTTTTAACAAGGCTTTATTGGCCAAACCATGTTGGAGAATCATTAACAACCCTTAGGCTCTACGGGTCAGGATTCTCAAAAGTTTGTATTTTCCAAGTTATGGTTTTCTGGAGGCTGCTAAGGGTGGCAGAGCCTCTTGGGCGTGGAATAGCTTACTCGAAGTATGATATGTTATTCTGAATGGTGCTAGATGGCAAATTATGGGAGGCAATTCTGTAAGGCTGTGGGAAGACTCATGGCTCCTCCAATCTAACCATGGGTAACTCCGCCCAACTGCACATGTCCCCTCCATTGGGCCCATGATGGTTACGGATATAATTGAATGGGAGCATAAGTGCTGGGAGTTGGCGGACATTGAGAACCTGATTTCTGTGGATGAGGTCAATGCGATCTTTACCCTTCCAATTGGAGGTAAAAGATATTCCTGATTGTCTGATTTGGCCTTACACGAAGAATGGCTCTTATACAGTCAAGTCAGGATACCACTGGATCATGGGGGAAAACAAGCGAGCTCAGTAAAATAGGATTGAATCTTCTCACCAGGTGGATAAGCAAGTCTGGAATTGTATTTGGGGTTGCAAAACTCTCCCAAATTATTCATGTGGCGTATTGTCCATGGGGTTCTTCCTACCTTTGCTAGCTTGTTCAAGAGGAAGTTGAGTCCTTCTCCCATCTGCCCTCTTTGCCATGATTTTCCTGAATCTGTGGAGCATGTTATCTTCTTATCCCCATGGGCTCGAAAAGTATGGTATGCTAGTAATCTATCTTATAGACTTGATGACCAAGCTTTCTCTTCGTTGGATAAATGGATTTTGGCTATTTCTTACTGCTCTGCTTTCTCGAGCATGGAGAAACAGTGGATTTTAACTCATGCTACCTTTGTGTGCTGGAGTATCTGGAAAGCCCAGTGCTCTTCTATTTATGCTACACCATCTAATTTCTATAAAGAAACCCAAAAATGACAGTTGGTCCTATTGAATTTAATTTTGATTATTAATTACTTTGATTCCCTATCGAGTGTTTTGGGTTTTTTTTTTATGAGGTTTTGGAGTTGTGCTTATTTTAGGAAATCGATGACAGTTTTGTAATTTATAGGAAGTTCGAAACTTCTTTGTTATGTTGTAAATGGTCTTTGGGTGTGTTTCTAAAGTCCATTTCATGTAGGTTTTTTTTAATTTTATAATTTAGGCTCCTATATTGGGTATATAGTGAATCTCCCAAACAAAAAATACAAAAAGTAATAGTTTCCTCTCATTTTGATACAATTCCTACAATAACTATTTCATTACAACCTTCAACCTTACAATTGTGGAAAATTTCTCTCGTCTCCTTTGTGGTCTTGATGCCTCTATTCTCTGCATAAAGAACTCTCTCTCTTTCTAGATCTCTCCTGATAAAATGTCTTCCTCATTTAAGAAAATGATGCCATCAGCACCCACCACACCAGAAATGGTGCAGTCAGGAGAAATCGCGTCCCTTAACCATCACAATCACCCCCGCATCCGATGGTGACCAGAGAAATTGGCAAGAGCTGAAAAATGACGCTGATCTAGCCTTAGTTTGTATTCTAGAAGCTCTCCTTCCAACTTGTTTTATGAGACTTGATGGGGGGCAGTAATATGAAATTAGTCAAAACGATGGAGATTAAGGTTACTAAAAAAGTCAAATAAAACTCGAACTTATTGTGATTATTAAAGATTAAGATTAATTTATGAGACAAAACTTAAAATTCAAAATGATGAAATATATATAGATTAATTTGATAAGATTTGTGCAATCCTAAGTTCGAGAAAAAAAGGAAGCATAAATATAAAAGTAATAATGCTAGGGACACCAAATTTTTGCACCGAATTCGGATCCCAAATGATGTCGCATATGACACATCATCACTTTGGTGTCCCTCTTAGGTTTTTTGTGTTTTTCACAAAATCTCTTGAGGTATTGGAAATTCCACTAACCTCACAGATGTTTCAAATTGTTTTCACATCCCCTCCCATTGATTTTCCACCTAAAAATTGTTGATGCTATCACACAAAAATCTCCAAATGACAATTTTAATCTAAAATCTTAGATTGTGCATAACCCGAGGTCTAATCGTTGAGGTTAATTTTGTCATTTAAATTTGAAAAAGCTTTTTTTTTAATGAAATCGTCAATTTTTGAATGGGAAATTAAAGAAAGGGATTTTACAAAAATAATTTTTAGTGTAATAAGTTCTGAAACTTGAAGGGGTTTTATGAAAGACCAAAGACCTCATAAAGTGCGAGTGTAAATAACTATATATAAAAGCCATGTATTTCTGTCTGTTCAAGTCGCAAGTCCCATTCACAATTCTTTACCATCTTTCTGCAATCAACAAATGGACCGAGGACTATAGAAAACAAAACTAACAAATCGATCGATGCATCAGTGGCTGGAGGGTATGAGTTCATGTAGAGAGACGTAGAGAGGATGAACACGTTACGTACCGTCAATTTTGAAAGAAATTTACAAACTTATCCTTTATCTAATGTGGCTTAGTGTAAATTGTTAGATCATTTAAATGATCAGATTTATGAAATAAGGATAAATGAACGACCTCTAAATGCAGACGTTCTAATTCTGAGTTACCATCCTCAATTCTATCAACAGATAAAAATTGTCTATCCCCAATTCTATCCTTGTTCATATGAGTTCAAGTTGCCTTTGCTCTCCAGCTTTCGCCCCATCCTTCCAAATGTATTGTTAAACTCCTGGACAAAGGAAATTTCCAACTTCAGACAGAGTAGACTACCTTTTTCACTCACATATAGTTGCACCTATTGGTCGTTAAACAATCTTTGTCTTGGGATCGATCTTTTATATTTTGGGTTATTTACTCTAATGGTCCTCAAAATTATATCTGAGTTGTATTTTGGTCTCTCAACTAAATTATTCGTTCAAATGATCCACCAACTCTTTATTACTTGTTGTATTGGTCCTACCATTACATTTTCTATTAAATTTAGTCATGCTACATTTTATGGAGTTAAAAGACTTTTGACACTCCAATCCCAACCCCAATCCCCTAGCCACATCCACCTCAACAAACCCCAGACTTGAACCTAGCACCCCATCCAGGCTAACCCACTCCGTCCCTGTCTCTGCCTCTCTCTCCTATTTTCTCTCTCTATCCCTCCCCTCCTCCTTCACACTACTACATTTTTCACTTTGCGCGACACAGGCACTTTCGTCGCTCAAAGAATCATTTCATCGCGCAAAAATTAGAGCAACAAAAAATTCGTCGCGCATATACTGTTGCGCAAAGATCATGAAGATAGACTATGCGCGACTAATTTTTTCCATTCGTCGCGCAAAATATAGCGACGGATGCGTTCATCGTGCAAACTATTTACGGACGATAGAGCCCTTGGGTTCATAATAATATGCGCGACAAAATCGTTTGCGTTGGCGAAAATGATGCGTGACGAAATGAGTTAGTGTCGTAAACGTTTGCGCGACGAAAACTGGCCGTCGCACATTGCGTCTCACAAGATATTGCGCGACCCAGCCTGCACGACAGAATGGGTTGGTGTCGTAAATTATGTGCGACAACAAGGACCTATTGCACGATTCGTCTCACATGGGATTGTGCGACGAGATTTATTGCGTGACAACTGCTTTTGATCGTGCGCTTAACTTTCGCGAGACGAAAGTTTTTGTAGCACTAAGGAGAATAAACCTTGCGCGACGAAACGTTTTTCGTCGCGCAAAATTTAAATTATATTTTTTCAATTTAAATTTATTTATTTTTATTTTTTTAATTTTGCGAAACAGTATCAGTTCAATTTATTTATTTTAGTGTGCAATTTTTTTTCTTTATTTTATTGCAATGAAAAAATGTAATGAAGAGATAAATTTTGTTATAAAATAAATGTATAAAATACAATACAAATATTTTAAATGTAAAAGTAAAAACCTAATTAAACAAGTTTCCAAAATCTACGTGATCTTTAGGCGAATGCGGCACGAAAGGCTGGGCATTGTCGTTAGGGGCAGAGGTGTGGTGGCCATGCTCGGGTTGGATGGGCACAGAGGTTGATGAGGGAGTAAAAGGCGGTATGCAAACGCAGGCCTGGGCGAGGGACTGTAGAAATTGTGTCATCTGGGCCATCTGGGTTTCAAGCATAGTCACCTTTGCCGTCAAAGCAGCAGTCGCCTGACTGGTTGCCTGCGACGATGACCAGGGCCTAGGTTCCTGCCGACGAGCGTTCCCCATCCCTCGACAATATGTCCCTGGGCGCCTCCTGAGAGTTTGATCCAAGGTTTCCGTCAATATCTGAAACCCTGCATCATGTGGAGGATCCACAGACTCGAGCGACGTATCGGGAGGAAGCTGGGAGGCGGACTCCTGAAGAACCAACTGGCTCTTCTCCATCATCGTCGTCTGTTTAACATAACATAAAATATTAATTAAAACATTCATATAATAACTATGAAACTTGAATGTGTAATATCATAATTAAGATTAAGGACTACTTACATGAAGGGACTCAGCCAACTCATTCCTAGGGCGAACGTAAACGTCGCCAAAGACGTCAATCTCGGGGAATTTGGACCCCCCCTGAATTGAACAATTCCAAAAAAATGTTTGCATGAAAAAAACCAAGTAATATTATTAATAATATATTAAAAATTAAATAAAAAACAGCTGTATTATTACCCGTTGCCGCTCCTCCATCCTATAGGAAAAGGGCTTGGAACCTGAATGGTGGAGAAGAGTCTTCTTCGCCCTATTGCCCTTATTTGCTTTGGCCTACTTCTGTGATAAATAAAAAAACGTATTAGTTGAAATTTAAATGAAATATTAAAAATTAAACAAACATTAGTAAAAAACGTGTAATAATTATCAACTAGTGATAAGAAATTACCAAAAAATCGGCCTCCTGAAAATGACCGCAGAGCCACTCCCAACTATCTTCCCGCCCCTCAAGCTCCTTCGGGCAACCCTCCTGAAGAGCAACCTGCGGATCATCATATGTCTGAAAATGGTGGTGCAAGTCGCTCTTCCACTGCTTATGCCTCTTAGCAAAGAGTCTATTGATGTACGCCAACATCTCGTCGTCAAGGTCCTCCAAATTGTAGTTCGTTTGCAATAAATTCATTACATACATGAAGTATTAAAAATATATAAAATGTGAAGGGAAAACAATTCAAAAGTAAGAAACATACCGACAGTTGGGAGAGCACCGCTATCCGCACCTCGTCAGGCATGGCCTTCCAAGACTTCCATTTCATCGGGCAATGCGTCCGAACGACGTGACCAATGTCATGGGCCAATTAGCTATGCTGGTCCACCGTTGGTGTAGCTCGATGCCGCTCGTCACCCGAGTAATCTTTGCCGTCTTCAACTAGCGACAAGGTCCCCAGGTGTGTTTCTTGGTATGAAACACCAAATCGTACTAAAATCTTGGTCTAAAACAGCCGGAGTTGAAGGAAATATTTACCTGGTTGTGACTCTGGCGCACCAGCAGCGAGGTCGAAGTGGTGTCGGTCATGCTGGGGGGCGGTGACGCTGCCTGGCACTAACAGGCTACGCCACTGACGACTCTGATGACGCCGGTGCATGGGGGACCCGGGGACAAACCGCCATGGCGTGTACCTGTGCTGGAGCAGTGGCAGCTGACGTCGTAGCCGGGGGTGGCAAACTCGATGCAGTCGTCACCGCCAACTCAAAAAAATGCTACAATAATTCAAACACCAAAACTAAAACAGCATGTGAAAACAGCAAAAAAATCACATTGAAACACATAATTCAAACCACCACAATAACTATCACTCTCGATTTTTTCAATTGAAACATAAAACCCTAAACCAACCATCAGACTAAGCAATCTCAACAGTTAACAAAATAAATACATAAATTCAAACAGAAAAAAAAATTCACCAAACTAAGCAATTTCAACAGTTAACAAAATAAATACATAAATTCAAACATAAAAAAAAATCACCCGAATATATTTAAAATTGAAAAAAAAATACAAAATAAAACCCTAACCAAGCATCAGACTAAGGAATTTCAAAACTTAACTAAATAAATACATAAATTCAAACAGAAAAAAAAATTTCACTCGAATATATTTAAAATTGAAAAAATAAAACAAAATAAAACCCTAACAAAAAAAAATACAAAATTAAACCCTAACCAAGCATCATCAAACTAAGCAATTTCAACACTTAAGTAAATAAATACATAAATCCAAACAAAAAATATATATTTCACCCGAATATATTTAAAATTGACCAAAAAAAAAAACCTAACCAAGCATCAGACTAAGCAATTTCAACACTGAACTAAATCATTCACATAAATTCAAACAGAAAACAAAATAAACCCGAATATATTTATACGTACAGACAGCAGCTGCGAGAGGGAGGCGGTGGTGTGACTAGCGATGGGGGCTTTGGGTTGGAGAGAGCGGGAACAAATTTGGGGTCAGAGAGGGGGAAAGGAAGTGAGAGAGCGGCGGCGTCGACTTATGGAGGCTTGGGAGGCGTCGAAGCTTGGAGGGAATGCCGGCGAAGGCAGGGTCTTGGGGCTGGCGGCGGAGGTATGGAGGCTGCAGAAGGACGGAGGAATAAAGATGAAGAGGGAAAGTGTCGCGTTTTTCAGAAAAAATATTGGGAAGTTTGCGCGACGACGAAAAAAGGCATCGCGTAAGCTTTGTTTTAACTTGCGCGACGAAAAATTTAGGTCGCGCAAACAAAAAAATTTAACTTTGTGCGACGAAAACAAAATTATCCGTCGCGCTGGTTCGATACTGTAATCAGCCGGAGCTGGACCGCCAAAATTTCACCACGTTGCGCGACGAAAAATATGGCGTTGCGCAAAACGAGGATCATAAAACCCTAATATTCTAACATTGCGCAACGAATTAATGCGTCTGAGAAAAGCTTTTGCAACGTAAAAAGTTCTGGCATTGCGCAAAGTTAAAAATTATAACCTTACACGACAAAAATATATTAATCCGTCGCGCAAAGACTTTTCTATAAGCGGGATTAAAACCGCCAATATTTTCCGAACCTGCGCGACAAAAACATCTTCATGCGTCGCGCAAAGTCCCCAAAACCCAGAAACCCTAAACCCAAAACAATAATTTAATATATTTGCATGACGAAAAAATGCGTCTGCCAGAATTTTGTGCAACGAAAAAAATCTTTCCGTTGCGCAAAACCTCATTGCGCGACAACAGTATGCGTCGCACAAGGTGTTTCTTTTATCACCGTTAAAAAGTTTTGTTCTGTTACAAGATGTCCGAATGTTTGTTTGTTTCGATTTTTGGGGTTTACGATCTCACAGTACGTACAAACACGTTTGACGGTTGGATCGTTGAAACTAGTTTCATATAATGCATATGTCATCGAAACAATACATTATCTAACAATGAATAGTTTATTTATACTTTCGTTTAATTTAACGTAAGATTGTGTCGTATTCACCAGTGTAAACCTTTGAAATTGAAGATCAGATTTAGTCATTGAATTCATATAGGGTGACGGAGTGTACCTGTAAAAAATCATCGCAATCGGAGTTAAAATAACTGTTAACTCGTGATTTGTCGTTTATAACCATTGAAAAGTTTTGTGTTGTTGTAGGTCTATGAATGTTTTTTATTTTTTGCGATTCTTGAGGTATATGATCTGGCAGCATATACAAACACGTCTCACGGTTGGATCGTTGAGACTCGTTTCGTAGAATGCGTATGCCATAAAAACAATATATCATATATCATATATAAATACTAAAACTTTATGCAACGAAAAGAGTTCTCTTCGTCGCGCAAGGTGTAAACATGGGTTTGGGCGACGAACAGGTGCCCGTCTTCGTCGCGCAACGTTCGCACTTGACTTTTTATTCTCCCAAATATCCCCCATTGTTGCGCGATGAAGAGCTTTTTCGTCGCGCAAAGTGTACGGGTGTGCGCGACGAAAAGGTGTCCTTCTTCGTCGCGCAAAGTGTATGTAGGGGACTTTTTCTTCCTGCAGCTAACGGGCTGGGCTGCTGCAAAAGGTGGACTGAGGAGATTGCCCCTTTTTGTTTAGGTTCGAAAATTAAGCCCCAAAATACCTCGAAAGGGCAGCGAAACCTTAGGAGATATTTTGGATAGTCTTCACCAATGAGAATAATAGTGACTTACAGATAATTTTGGCATGCTTACAGATGGTTTTTAGGCTCAGCATGAGTGGCATGAGGCATGGAGAGCAAAACCAACATGGGTTTAGCACTAAGAGAGAAATTAGGCTTGGTTTATGAGAAATGAAAGTGTTTAGGTAAGGAATGGGGTGTTTTGTGAGGGATTTTGACTAGAGGAAGAAAAGAAAGGCAGGGTTCTTCCGGCAGCTGCCAGAAGAACAAATTGGGGAAGAAGATGAACAGTGCGCGATTCTAAGTTTTGCAAGATAGAGAGAAAAGCTTGCTCTCTGCAGGTTGTGAGTTGTGTTTGCTGGGTAGGGAAAGGCTCAATTTATAGCTGCCAGAAATCACCATTTTTCAAGAAACCCTAATGGCTTCTTCTTACTTTGGCTGAGCTTTTCTTCCTTTCTCTTCCCCTTCTCTGACTTCCCTTTCTTGGCAAAGATTGCTTCTGTCTATCTTCATGAATTTAGGAGATTTGGGGGCTCAACATCCTCCTTTCCCGCGGCTGTGCAATGAGGGCTTCCACTCTTGGTTTGCTGTTTTTCTTCCTTTTCTTTCCTCTTCCTTGGCTGAATCTGATGAAGGAAAGGAGGTGCCAATGTATGCTGGTCCAAGGGATGCTTCTGACAGCATGCAGGATGGTATTCATCGGTTCTTTGGATGTCTCTGGCTTGGGACTGGTTTCCAGCAGCTTTGTTTAAGGAACCTGCCATCTACTCCTTCACGTGTTCTCTGTTTTTCAAAAGGGCTGAAGCTATTGTGGGCCCTTTTTTGGGCTTTTCTAAGGGCCAAGATGGCTTTCTAAACAAATGGGCTTGTTGGGCTTCTTGATTTGGGCTTATTATTATTTTTTGGTTGGGTTATCTCTTGGCTGGGTTATTTTGCTTGGGCTTTTGGGCTATTTTTCCTCTCTTGTGCTTACCCACATGTTTGGGCCTAAGAAATGGGCCTGAGTCTCGAGGCTCCCAAGCAACCCGAGACTTTCCATTTCTTGGTCCATCAATGGGCCTCATGTTGATTTATCACCATCCATGCCACAACCCACTCAAGCAAGCCCCGGGTCTTTTTTGAGTGGCTTGGGCCCACCTAGGCTTGTAGCGTGGTTGGGTGCGAGATAACGGCACGGCATGTTGCTCGGCATATTTTACCTTATCGCCCTTGGGAAGGATTGTTTTAATTTTTTAGCATGATTATATTTTATCATAGCATGATAATTTGTTTATTTAGCGTGGCGTGTGGATTATAACTTGCGTGCGATAGATCCCTTTTTTCTTTTCCCTTATGGAATATTGTATTGGGCTGATAATTGCTCGGGCCCAATCCATGGATTTTTTGGGCCTCAACAGTGTAAACACAGGACTTTTATTCTTCCAAATAATGAACGATTTTCGCACGACGAATAGGTGAACTTTTTCGTCACGCAAAGTGTAAACCCCTGGACTTTGTTATCTGAGATATGCCCGAGTGTTGCGCGACGAAGAGGTGCCCTTCGTCGTCGCGCAAAGTGAGCGACGACGAGGTGCTCTTCTTCGTCGCGCAAAGTGTAAAAACGTGTTTGTGCGACGAAAAGGTGCTCTTCTTCATCGCGCAAAGTGTAAACACGTGTTTGCGCAACGAAAAGGTGCTCTTCTTCGTCGCGCAAAGTGTAAACATGGGACTTTTATTTTTCAAATAATGAACGACTTTTATGCGACGAATAGGTGCACGTCTTCGTCGCGCAAAGACTTGTAAACCTATATTAGTCAAGATTTTAAGGATGGAGAAATGAAAAAAATTCGGACGGAGGGTGAAATTTTTTTCTTTATGCGTTTTTATTTGTTAACTCTAATGTTCTTTTTTCCCTTTATTTAATTTTCAAGACTTTATGAAAAATATATTATAAACTACTTTGCACATGTTACGTATTCATTATCTATTATTGACAATTTTATATTAGGATGAGTGTGCATAGCTGAGTAAATGTTATTACTTTATTTACTTATATTGGATTCATTGTAGTATGAAAATAGTTCAACCTAATTAATGGATTACATTATGGTTACATAATGTGTACGTTACATTAGGATTATGGAATCTGTAGGTTACATTAGAGTTACATTAAGATTATGGTAATTGTATGTTATATTAAGATAAGTATAGAAGAATGATTATACTATAGTTCATTCACCGGCTTATCATACTACATTGTAGGTATGTTATATTAAGATAAGTATGGAATGTGTAAAACCAACTTTTTTTATATATAAAAAAGTAAAAGAAATTATTGCCAAAAACGTCATGACTTTAGGATTTAAATGAAGGTAATGGAAAGCTTGTATTTATAGGATTTAAATGAATGTATAGCTCGTTTTTATGTCGTAATTAAATTAAAATGGTATGAAATATTTAACTAAAATCATTGAGAAGCTTACGATTTGTAGAATGAGAAAATAAAACGATATACCGTCGCTATCATGGAAAGTCGCAAATAAATTACATTATTTACATGGCAAGTCGCAAATAAATTACATTATTCATCATTTGAACTATAATAATCTTCGTTACCGTCGCTATCATCACTTTCGGTCTCCCAATCCTCCTCCTCCTCTTCTTCATCCTCCTCGTCCTCCATAAGTACATCATCGTCGTTGTTTGGACCCATGGTTGGATCGTATCGTGGAAGATCACCGAGGTCAATTGTAATTGACTGAATCAGTATTTCTCTTGAAGACACTCCTTCAAGCTGAAACGGTTCTTGTATAACATTTGAATCTAGAAGTGTTTGTGCAACATTTTCCATGGAAGATTCCAAACGTTGGTCAACAACGTCGACGTCGTTGTCAGATGGTCTAGTTCTGGTATAGCATACACATTCCTCTTATCTATCTGCTGAACAACTTTCCAACCGTGTTCGGCTTTAGGGTCATCTAGATACACAATCTGTTTTGCCATGTTTGCCAAAATGTAAGGGTCGTCATCATACCAAGTTCTGTTAATGTTCACAGATAGTAACCCATAATCGATTTTAACACTTCCCTGCCTATTTGGGTTCGTATCAAACCATCGACACTTAAACATGATTACTTGGTATCGGTCCTTGTAAAGCAATTGCACGACAGTTGTGAGTTTGCCATAGAAATCAATGTCCGTACTTTCACCTCCACCTGGGACATGGACACCACTGTTTTGCGTACATAACTTGTCATCTCTTATAGTCCCCAAAAATTTGATACCGTTAACATTGCAACCCGAGAATAATTCAGCGCCAATTTGGCCGAATGCCAAGTTATATAACTCTTCACTGTAAATGGGGGAATTCTCTTATTTCAACTTATTCACCTAATATTATACAAAAAAATTCACATGTTAGTTTGAGAAGCATAAATATTACAATATATATGTCAAATACAAAACACATATAACTTACATATTCCAAAAACCATAGTGGAAACAATTCACGGTGTTTCTTGGAATACAATTGTGATGGATGTTCTCGCTTCATCATCTCTTCATACTCATCCAAGTACCAGATTATCTCATCACAATTGTTCAGTACAAACCAATGGGCCACCTCCATGTCATTTTTGGAAAACGCCTCTCCTCGTACAGGCTCTCCAAAAGGTCGTGCACTTTGGCCAAAAACATAAAGTTTCGCATTTCTCACACCTCCGTCATTATTGCGCTGAGGACGATTGAAAGCCTAGTCCACATCTTTCAAATACATTCCACATAAAGTAAGCGCCTCATATTGAACCCAAGCCTTTATAATTGATCTTTCAGGCTTCGCTCTGTTGCGTACGCTTTTTTTCAGCTCTCCGAGAAGCCTGCGAAAATAAACCGATACGATGCAAATTAGCAAGTAGCAAGCATATGATAATTATGCATACACAAATATGGAATGATTATATACCTTTCTATTGGATACATCCAATGGTAGTTGACTGGACCAGCAAGCAATGTCTCTTCTGGCAAGTGAACCATCACGTGAATCATACTTGTGAAGAAAGCTGGAGGGAATATCATCTCAAAATTGCATAGGACTTGGACAATGTCATGGCGCAACTGATTAACGTATGTCCTTCGCAACGTTTTTGCCGACAGTTGGGAAAAAAATCTGGATAACAATACGATTGGCTTGACTACATCATCCGGCAATAGGTGTCGAATCCTCCCAGGAAGGAGGCGTTGCATAAAGACATGGCAGTCATGGCTCTTTAGTCCAGTAAATCTACCCCCGTCAACATTCACGCAACGTGCGATATTAGAAGCATACCCGTCAGGAAATTTTACAGTCGATACAAACTCGAGAAACTCTTTTTTGTCATTCAGTTTCATGGAAAAAAATGCAAGATCCCTTCTAGCTTTATGACTGTCCCTTTTCATCCATAAACCCGTTTGTATGCCCATTTTTTCCAAATCCAGATGAGCTTTGATCGTGTCCTTTGTCTTCCCCTCGATATCTAGAATCGTGCCCATCAATGTGTCAAAGACATTTTTCTCAACATGCATAATGTCGAGATTGTGACTCAAAGTTAGTTTTGACCAATATGGAAGCTCAAAAAACATAGGCTTGTGCGTCCAATTCATATGTGTAGCAGGTCTAGTCCGACTAACTATTTTCCCGAACGGAGCAAAATCCAAACGGTTAAGCTGTTCTAAGATCTCATCCCCGGATCACTCTCTAGGTCTAAGGCCATGCTCTTTCTTCCCGTCGAACTATTTATCCTTCTCCCGCCACTCGTGGTCCCATGGCAACCATCTCCGATGACCAAGGTAACAAACTTTTCCGGCGTGTCAACTAGAAGTCACATCTTCCTTGCATATAGGGCATGCCATATAACCCTTCGTGCTCCACCCAGAAACCATTGCATACGGGGGAAAATCATTCACGGTCCACATAACTGCTGCCTGGAAAGTGAATAGCTTCCCAATGGATTTATCGTACGTACGCACACCGTTTGTCCATAAATCCTTGAGCTCATCAACCAACGGCCATCAGTTAACATCGATTGACCTGCCGGGATCCTCAGTTATCAAGACAGTCATCATCATATATTCCTTTTTCATGCACTTCCAAGGCGGCAAATTATATGGGAATACAAAAATCGGCCAAGTGCTGTGGTGTTGGTTTAGAACCACGTACGGATTGAATCCGTCAGTGGCAAGTCCCAATCTAACATTTCAGGGATCAGTAGCAAACTAAGGGAACGTTCGATCGAACTCTTTCCATACTTCCCCATCCAGGATGCCGCATCACATCGTCATCTACCCGTTTTTCCTTATGTCATCTCATATCTGTGGCAGTATGCGTCGACATATACAATCGCTGCAACCTAGGTTTCAAGGGCAGATAACGCATGACTTTTTGTGGAATCTTAGTCATTCTATTCTAAGATGTTGTTTTGAACCTCGACTCATTGCATACATGGCATGTATCCAATGTTTCATACTCTTTGTAGAATAACATGCAATTGTTTTTGCAAGCATGAATTTTTTCATAACCTAATCCAAGACCATTCAACACCTTCTGCGCCTGTCGGTGGTCTTTTGGCAAACAATTGTCCGTCAAAAGCATTCTCTTAAAAACCCCTAAAAAGTAATCGAAACACAGGTTCGATATATGATACTTTATTTTTTCGTGCATTAGCTCCACAATGGCCGTGAGAACAGAAAAGTTCTCGCACCCCAGGTATAACTCTTGGTTGGCATTTTGTAACAGTTTTTCATACTGTTCGAAGTCTGGAATGTCCATTGATGTAGGCACGTCATCTTCCCCCTCCTGATTGCTACTTGTCGATGCAAATGGAAAAGCATCATTTAGAATATCCATGACTTGTTCATTAGGATCCACAATAGGTTCAACATTCTCCACTCTTGTGACCCTTGAAGACGAAGCAATGTCTAATTGTTCCCCGTGATAGGTCCAAGTGCTATATGTCTCAATCATTCCATTCCTTACCAAATGAAATTGAACATTTTCAATTGTCTCCCACAACGTGTTGTTACACCTCCGACAAGGACAACGGATTCTAGTTGCACCCGAGTTGTGTGCTCGTGCAAAGGCAATAAAATCCTCGATTCCATCCAAATATTCATTTGCACACCTATTCGGGTTCTGTATCCACCTCCTGCTCATAATTCCTAGAACCACAATCATAATATACAACAATCATGTTGTATTCGTACAAAATCATAATGTCACCTTATGCCTTCGGTAAGGGCCCTATCCCATTCGGGAATGCATAGTCATATCACATAATTTACGACTACATGAGATTAGATTTCGATGTGGATGAATTTCGGCAGCATCTCGACACAGTTCTTGAGGTGTACTGTAGGTATAAAATACCTACGTACCACCCAAAGAACGTATCGAGATGACACCGAAATCTCCACAATCGAAACCTAATCTTGTAGTCGTAAATTACGTGACACGACTATGCATTCCCAAACTGTCCAAATAATGGGACAATTCAAGAATTAATTGGACCGCAGTCACGCTTTAGCATCCATGCGCGAAATCCAACTAACCTCGAACGGGAAACTAAGTTTGACTTAAAAAAAATGTACAAAGTTAATTTCAATTAACTTCGTACATCAACGTGCATAAATTTAACAACATAATATAAATATAATTTCACAAAACAATTTAAGCATAATGTAATTAATTTTATATTTTTAAATTATAAAACGATGAAAATACCTTATCAATCGTTCTCCAGTAATCGCTAATCACATATAATATCCCTATAGACAACGAAATTAATGGTGTTAGTATAAATTTACATTAAAGCTTTTACACTAACGACAAAAAATACATATCCACCGAACGCAGCAGAAGCAAAGGCAGTTCAACTCATACACAAAATGAAATTGACGAGGGAAGTTTGCTGAAATCGTTTGAGAGAGAGGGAGAGGCAAGCTGCAATTTTTTTTGTAGTTTGCCTCTGCAATGGCTGAAACCGATGAAGTAAAGGACGAAGGTTTGAGCGACGAACAAGTATTCGTGTGTTCGTCGCGCTAAACAAAATAGTCGTCGCGCAAAAGCATAACAATTTGCGGGACAAAAAAAATTTCTTCGTCGTGCAAAATTCGTCGCGCAAGGTTTTGCCGACATCGATCTTTGCGCAACGATAAGAATATTTTTCGTCTCTCAAATATTCGTCGTGCCAATTCATCCTGTCGTCACTAAATATGTCATCACGCAAGATGTTGGAACGTTTTTTAACGCGACGAAAATTATTCGTCGTCATAGAGTAAGCGTGACAAAATAACTTATCTCGTCACGCAAGAATTTGGCGCCAAAAACTAAAACCCGCGTTTTTCTTCCCCCACTTTTTTTGCGCGACGCCATTAACTTTTGTTGCGCAAAGCAATCTTTTGCGAAGACATTTGTTGTCGGGTAAGGCTTTGGCGCCAAAAAAAAGGTTCCCGGGTTTTTTCCCTACCTTGTTGCGACAATATATATTTTTGTCGCTCTAAATCTTTTTGCGCGACGAAATTTTGTCGTCGCTTGATTTTGCGCTACGCGTAGTATGTTTTGTCGCGCAAAGTTTGTTTGCGCGACGAAATTGCCTTTGTCGCGCAAATAGTGAAATGTAGTAGTGTCAATTTCCTAAACAAAGAATTTTCAGTCATCATCTCCATCAAAATTGTCGCCGGGAATACCACCATGGTCAGTATCTCTTAATAAGCCTTGTATGTCATCTTTGAACAAAATGTTTTCCCCTTACCAAAAAGCAGTGCTACAACAGTATTTGTAGTTAGAAAAAATATCAATAAATGTGAAAGTTCAATAATAGTGTCTTCCATTGAAAATGAACAAAACACATTGCCTTACCCATCAACTGCATCTTTCCAGTAATTTTTCAGATTTTCTTTTGAGAGTTCATCCAGTATGTTGTAGACCTGATATGTATTCCATTGCAGGAATGAACCTTTGGCCCTCTTCTTTGATTTGGTTGGCTCTTGACCTTTTTTTTGTGCCTTTCTCTTTTGTGCTCTCGTCTCTGCTTTAGGGAATGGGAAATCTGGTTTGGTTGCGATCTTTTGATATGTTGTTTCTTTGATTTTGTTGGCCCTCATATGCAAGTTTCTTGATTTTATCTCTTCTGACTTCTTGCTTTTCTCCTTTATCCTTTTCACTCTGCAGTTCTTATGTTAATTTTTTATCTCTCAACAAGGCAATGACAACTTCCTTTTCACTTATAATCTCCAAGTTGGAAATCTTCTTTGCAAGAAGTTGATCATTTTCTAGCTGCAGCTTTGTCTTGTAGGATTTTTCCTCATAAACATCAAGTTGTATGGAATTCTTTTGATATGCTTTTTCCTTAACCATCTTCTGCAAATGTTGTTGTTGCTTCCTTAATTCTTCTTTTTCATTGTATAGTATCTGAATCAATTTATTCTTTTTTATGCAAGACGCTATTGCATCATGGATCTTTTGATGCTCTCATTTCTTTGTCCAATATTCAGCAACATTATTATTCTCCATCATATACTATTTTGTAAGTTGTATTTCATCCTCCTTGTATTCTCGGATTGATCTAACAATTTTCTCAAACAACGTTGTATTCTTGTATTATGGGATTTCAGTTTGGGGGTCATCTTGTAGCTGGTGGTGTTGCTTGGCTTTATGTTCTTGGTTCTCTTGGTGCTCTTGCTCCTTTTTATGTGCAACAAGGTCATCACTCTCTCCTTTATCAGTGACGTTGAGCCTCTTTTTCTAGATAATAACAGTGGTATGTTTTCCACAATATTATAAATGAAATATTATAAAAGAATAAAAAAAAATAAGATTAGCAAATTTATATGGCTTAATTATGTACATGCCCCCTGTGCTTTCCAACTTATCTCAGATTACCACCTGTGTTTGCAAACGGCTCAAAGTACCCCCCAACGTTTAAAAAACCGTCTCACGTTACCCTTTTCCGTCAGTTTTTTTGAAGTTCTGTTACGAACGTTACTGTTCATCCCCCAAAATTCCAGAACAGCAACCCATCCCTTTTGTTACTGTTCATCCGACCAGTTTTTGAGCTGCCATCTCCTCCTCCGGCCACCCCGAGCGACGACATGGGTATCAAAAGAACCAAGACGTTGTCCTCTACCACCCTCACATCTCATCCGCTACCAACCGCCGTCTGGATCGCCGAAAAAAGCAAGAAATTGGCCAATTTTTACCCAAAATCTCCATCGCTCGTTCGGGCGATTCCGAGCACCATTTGCTTCGATCCAGGTATGGTTTTTCAATCTCTCGAGCTGTTCTTGCTGCTAGTTGTGCTAGTTATGAGAAATTTCTGAGTTTTGGAGGGTAAATAAGCAATGAACAGTAACAAAGGGAATGGGCTGCTATTCTGGAATTTTGGGGGGGATGAACAGTAACGTTCGTAACGGAACTTCAAAAAAACTAACGGAAAGGATAACGTGAGATGGTTTTTTAAATGTTGGGGGGTACTTTGAGCCGTTTGCAAACACAAGTGGTAATCTAAGATAAGTTGGAAAGCACAGGGGGCGTGTACATAATTAAGCCAATTTATATACATGTATATATATATGTGTGTGTGTGTGTTTGTACACCCTCGATTTAGCCTTCAAATATAAATATTGGAACATTATAGGTTATCTTACCCAATTTTTAAGTGTGATAACAAAGACATCATCCTCCTCTTCATTTTCTTCTTCAACAGCATCATCATGCTTTTCAATCACTTCTTCAGCAACATCATTCTCCTCTTGAACTTTAGTGCTTTTTATCTATTTGTTAAGTAGAGTTAGTATCAAGAGTATACTTCTATAACATGGTATTAAGAGTGTACTTCTATGAAATGGTATTAATAGTTTACTTCAATGACATGGTATTAATAGTTTACTTCTATGACATGGTATTAAGAATATACGTCTATGACATGTTATTAACAATGTTTTCATATCAGACGCAGATTATTTGAAAGCAAAGAGTACCTTTATCTGGTTGTTCTTTAGACGGTGAAGCTTTGCACTCAGTTGTGGAAGACTCCATTTAATATCCCCTAGTGTCATTTGTTCTCTTCCAGAAATTGGAGTAAGCAGGTTAGATCTTTGATACAGCCAATACTGCACAATTTATTTATTTATTTTTTTTTGCAATATTATGTGTCAATGACAGGACCCGACCCAAATTCCACTTTGGAATCTGCGCCGAACCTATGCGTGCCCAACACCTAGCAGGTGCTAGGCATACTTGACCAAATTACCCTTCTAACTAAAACTCAAAAATTCTTCTAAGGTTTGACTTATGTCGAAAATTCGGCAGTCTCCCCTGTAAATTGCTCGTGTCCCAAAATTTATACCTATACAAAATTACAATTCATATATTCACAAGCGTTCAGCATGCACAAAGTTAGAACACACACAATCCAGATAATGCTACGAATTTGCAGTTTGGAGATTTGTGTTCTTATCGGTATTAGGATTTGGCAGCCACTCACGCTTGGCTGCTTTTTTTCTTTTGTCCTTCTTGTTCTTCTTTGCTTGTTCTAATCCAAAATACAGGTAGTCCAAAACTCCTTTAGCCCAATTATACTTCCTCATCTCTTCTAAGGTGTCTATTATAGTTGTATATGTCCAAGCAAGTGTACAACCAGAGTTGTAGAAGAGATTGGTCATGAAGAGTTATAGGATTATCAATCTTGTTACATCCATAGGACCCTATTCTGTTTCATCTTCAAGTGCTAAGTTCAAGCACTTATTAATTGAAGTCTTTATTATCTTCTTATAACCCATGAAGTATTTCCTCAAAAAATGCAAATCCGGCCTTGTTGAGGTTGTTGTGCTTGGTAGCTTCTTGCCTATGCTTGGCAAGCCAAAAATTTCAGCCACATCTTAGCTTTTCATCTCACTATCACCATCATTAAACTTGAACTTCCTCGTCTTTGTGTCATAGTCTTGTATGAGTCTCACAATGTCATAATTAGACTTCATGCACTCTACCTTTGTTAACTTTTTTTGGATATATGCTTCTATGAGTATCCAAAGAGGTGTCTTCGGTAGTAGTGTCAAGACATAGTTCCGTTGTTCAGGTTTGTCTCTGATGTTGTCAATTGTTGTTACAAAAGTGAGCATGTTATTCTTGATCTGCACATAGTTTGGGTTGTTTTCGTTTTGGATGATGACTGTTTACCTTTTGATTTTGAGGTTGGTCTAGTTTGTTCTTTCTTCATCCTTTCTTCGGTATATCTGCATTAGAAATAGCAACATGACAGCCATTAATCAATATGACAGTAAAGTAGCAGTGTTATTACCCTATACTGGAACTTTACAGGGGATAAACATGCATTAGAAATAGGATTTCATAAGAAACTAGCAGTGTTATGACCTTGTACTAGAACTTTATAGGGGGTAGACATGCATTAGAAATAGGATTTCGTAGGAAACTGACAGTGTTATGACCCTATATTGGAACTTTACAAGGGGTAGACATGCATTATAAATATGTTTTCAAAGGAATCTAGCAGTGTTATTACCATAAACTAGAACTTTATAGTGGTAGATATGCATTAGAAATAGGATTTCACAAGAAACAAGTAGTGTTATTACCCTATACTGGAACTTTACAATGGTAGACATGCATTAGAAATAGGATTTCATAGGAAACAAACAGTATTATTACCCTATACTGGAACTTTACAGCCATTAATCAACATGACAATAAACTAGCAGTGTTAAGAATGGGTATATGACTAAATATCTCTTTCCTTTTTGAGTTGCAGAAAATCGACAATTTTATAGTCATATGCAGTCAGTCCAATAGTGAAAATCCAATATAGTTTCAAGATTTTGTCCTGGATTCGAATCCAAAATACTATTATTACCATAGACTGGAACTTTGCAGTGGTAGCCATGCATTAGAAATAGGATTTCATATGAAACAACCAATGTTATTACCCTATACTAGAACTTTACAGCCATTAATCAACATGACAGTAAACTAGCAGTGTTAAGAATGAGTATATGACTAAATATCTCTTTCCTTTTTTAGTTGCTGAAAACCGACTATTTTATAGTCCTATGCAGTTAGTCCAATACTGAAATCCAATATAGTTTCAATATTTTTTCCTTGATTCGAATATAAAATACTATTATTACCTTAGACTGAAACTTTACAGCAATTAATCAACATTACAGTAAAGGTTTGGTTTGTAAATGTCTTACCTTTCAAGCGTTTTCTTGTTGAAATTGTTCTTTGAAATTTTTTCTTGGTTTTGTAGGTGGAGGTTAGTGTGTGGTGTTTGTTTTTGAAAGTAAATCAAGCTTGGTAGTGGTTTTGGAGTTTCGGTTTGCATAGATGAAGACGCGTTGATGAAGACGGTGAAATGAAAAGACGTTTTGCAGAGATGGTTTAATGAAGCCGAGTGCTTGAAGTTAATTTACGGTTTTCGAGATGGTAAAATGTTTGGGCTTTTTGTAATTAAAAAAAAATTGTTTGGGCTTTTTTATAAAATTGGGCTGGGGTTGTTTTGGGTTCTTTTTGAGTTTTTTTTTTCTGTTGAGCTTGATCAGTGGCAGTCCTATAATTTATAGGAACTTCAACACCAATTTCTTATATATAAATGGATTTTGGTTGTGTTTCTAAAGTGCATTCCATGTGGGATTTTTTAAATACAAATTCAGCCCCTATTTTGGGTACATTAGTGAAGCTCCTAATAAACTAATGGTGGGCTATGCAACAAAGGGGAGAAAATGTTTATTCAAGTCATGTTGCAGTCGGTTGCAATAGTAGTAGCTCTAACCTCCTATAAAAAGAGATGTAGCCTTTGTCCAAAAACACACCGAGCCTTACATTTCTCTTGAGCTCTCTTTTTCCTTCCTCCAATTCTCCTAGTTCTAGTTATAAATTTTATGTCTTAGTTTTTATGGGGAACTAACTCTCTAGCTAAGGCTAGGGAGAAAGCTTTTAATATGAGTGTGTAATTTTTATTAGTTTGATCCAAACTTAAGCTTTAATGTTAATTTGTAGTTTTTGTTCAAATGGATAGTTTTCTTTTTAATTAATTGATGAATGTTTGATAATCTATTTCATGGGTTCAATCATGGTTTTTCCATTGTGTATTTAAAACTTTCATGCTTTTAAAAGAGAAGAGAATTACTAAAAATTAATAGAATTTCGATGAAGATTATTTTTTGATAGTTTGTTGCCAATGGTACAAGTTATGCTTAGAATACTTCTAAAGGAAATTAAAAAGAGCTTTAATTATTTTGAACAACTACAATGGAAAATATTTTGTGGATCAAATTAATAAGAGTTGCCTGCTTATGTTAAATGTGGAACCCCAATGCCTTAGTGTTTTAATCAATTGAATTTTCTTTAAATCAAATCCCGTTTAAATCTACTTCTCAATCATAATTGTTCTTTTTCAGCTCTGTTATTTTCTTTACATCGCTCTCTGTGGATACGACATTCAGACTTCCGAGCTACACTGCTATACGACACCTCCCCTTGGGTTTTGCAAGCGGTCAATCAATGTCCAACTTTCTCTTTTCTACACGAAACAAAAAAAAAAAAAAAAAAAAAAAAAAAAAAAGGAGCTGATTTCCTCACTCCCCTTTTCTTCACTACACTCCCCTTTGCTTTTTAATACTTTTTAATTAATTTTGTTCTTTTTTATTCTTTCTCTTTCCTATTCTACCCTTACCCTACAATTCTCTTTAATAAACATGTATCACTTACTAAAATTATGAAAGAATTAAAATATGAGACTATTATGCATACCTTGCTCTCTGCATATCTAAGCTCCTAATGACAGTTTGGTTAGTAGCATTCTTTGGTTCTTCTACCATATTTATATGTTAGCCCAAAAAATTTATTATCTATTAATTATAATGAAGATAAATAGTACTCACATACTTGGTAAAAAAAACTAAGAATTTAGCATACAAATACATTTCTATTCATTTTCCAGATTTACATATATTTTTTGTTTTATTTTCTGTTAACTTTTCTTTATTTTAGTTATCAAAACCTTAATGTAGGGTAAGGGTAGAATAGGAAAGAGAAATAACAAAAAAGAACAATATTGATTAAAAATATTTATAAAAGAAAAAGAAAAAAGGGAGTGTAAGTGGGGGGAAAAGAGAGTGGAGAAATCACCTCCCAAAAAAAAACACTTGAGTAAACAAAAAAGCTCGATACACTTGTGCACAGCACCCAAAATCTTCTCCCAAGTTATCTTCAGTCCACAAAGTCATCAAAAAACCATTTATTTCCACATCGAACCCCGGGTGCGTCCATTTCCATTCTCAAATTTGCAAACAAGGTACTATGGATCCAATGTTGTTGATTTGGTTTCAGAGCAGAGTATTTCTTGTTACTTTAGGCACCAATAAAACAGTAACTTCTATTCAGAAAGTCTCAAAACAATATGCTTCATTATTCTGAAATTTTCTACCATCATTTATATATGAGAGATTTAAATAAAACCTCCCCAGTTTCATGGAGCTCGCACCACTTTACACAAGCAAGAAGGCTTATGATGAGGAAGTGTCGACTAAATTGTTTCTGTATTGGAAGTTCCAAAGAAGTCATCCTTCCTGTGAAATTTCCTTTCCCTAATCACCACTTGGAATTCAAAAGATTAAAAACGCCATCCAACCGAAACTCAGCCTTAGTCTTAAAGAACAATAACAAAGCATTACAGTTGCTTCACTACTGCATATATATCATTAACATGAAAAAGACCAGGCATATATATATATATATATATATGTGTGTGTATTTTGTATGTACCTCCATCATATTCATCATGTCAGACAAATTGAATTTGTTAGCGTTTGACAACGTGAAACATCAAACGCAGACCCGAAACATGAAACAGAAGAAAAGGTTTAGCATTTGAATTCAAAGAAGAGTGTTTCTTTTTATTTTAGGCACTAATGCAACATAAGTAACTTCTATTCGTATCAATGTAGCAACCATGTTTAGTCCTATTTAATGCATTAACAAGTTAGTGCCTGTTCATTCAGAATGTATCAAACAATATACATCATTAACTGAATAAAATATCGAAATAAAATATTTCAATTATCATTTACATATTAAAGATTTTAATAAAATTTCCCCAACAGAAAGGTTTTACATAAGCAAGACGGCTTACGATGGCAGTTGAAAAATTAACTAACTTGTGTCTGCATCGAAAGATGCAGAGAAGTAATCCCTCCCAATGAATTACCCTTTTCCTAATTGCAGGTTGAATGAAAGATATCAACAATGACCATCCAACCTGAAACTCTGCCATACTTAGTTTTGAAACCACAATAGCAAAGCACTACAACTTGCACACACACACAGAGAGAGAGAGAGAGAGGAGAGAGAGAGAGAGAGAGAGAGAGAGACCTAACGCCTGATTATAATTTGAGGTTCGTGCTGGGCGGGAAAAGAAAAGAAGACGATAAAAGAACTAGTCCGCTATAACAATGAAAATATGATAAAAGAACTAATATACACATGTAAGAAACAGATCATGGAACAACAAATTATGCCTACAAACTAATTTACAAAAAAACATAGAACAAAATTTTTAAAAATCATGTGGTTGCAGCAGCTCCATTGACCCCATAATCAAGGGGATGAGCCTAAATTGTAGGGGATGTGATGTATGAAACCTTCCCGTTTCAATTTTCTCATTGTAAGAAATAACAAAAAACTTCAAACGGTTAAAATGTTGGAAGTCACTCTTCTTTCACATATGTTCAGACAGCTAAGTGAAAGGACAAAAAGCTAGTTCTACACCAATTGACTCAATGTCCAGGGCCAATTAAAACCTTTTTTCTGCAAATTACATATTTGCATTACATTCAGGGTAAGGGGAGGATCCATAAAGTATTCAAGATTACAGTCTTCATTTTACAAAATGACAACTTGTTCGTTCAAAATCGAACATGACAGGAATCATCCATCAATTCAACCGTTACATCCTCATAAAACACAAGCGAAGAAACAGGGTGACCCTTGAAAGGCAACCTCACAATCAAATCATAACTGTGCTGCTCTTGAGTCTTGACCACATAAACCATGTGAAAATCTAAATGTAAGATGTCGTCGAATTGATCGAATTCCCTACTCTCAGAAACATACTATGCCAGATCAAAACAAACTTCAAAAAGCCTGTTACCAATTCCATTTATCAACTCATCTTGTTCAGTGTTACTCAGAATGTTATTATTCCTCATCTGGTATTTTCGTTCTTATTTTTTAAAACGGAAAAATAAAAAGAGGTTCCATAAATGATCATGACCCACAATTGGTACATGTCACAAATGAGATAGAAACCCAATTGAACAAAACATGAAAAATTGCATCTTAACATGGAAATCAAAAGAAGTTGATATAAATGAACCAAAGATCAAAAAGCAGACCACATATCTCAGTTTCAGCTACAGGTATTATTTGAAACCAGCATATCAAACACAGGAATCAACAAAAACATATGAAAGAAGCACATGATTTTTTTTAAATGCATATTTCTTTGATACGAACATCGATATAATATATGACCACCCAAAGAAAAAAAAATGAATTTGAGTGTACCATACCCAAAAGCTAAAGAAATAATTACGAAGATAGATACAGAGATAAAAGTCTAACAGTATAGAACAGTGAAAGATAACTTGGAAGTGAGAGAATTACCTGCAGAAATGCAGCCCTTCTTCAACTTGCACAGAGAGAGAGAGAGAAACCTAACGCCCGATTCATTTGCATATTTCTGGAATGTATATAAGCCTAGTAAACTAGAAGCAGTTGGTCAAACTTTCCATCAAAGATTTTAATTTGTTAGGATTTAGCGATGTAAAACATCGAACTAAAATTCAAAAGGCAAAACAAAAGAAACAGTTTTAACATTTGAATTCAGAACAGACTATTTCTTGTTACTTTAGGCACCAATAAAACAGTAACGTCTATTCAATCCTTTTTAATGCATTCAGAAAGTCTCAAAACAATATGCATCATTAGTCAAGAATTAGGATGGGAATTGAAGTGTCAACTAAAGTTTTTCTGTATCAGAAGATGCAGACCCTTCCAAAGAATTACCCTTTCCCAAATCGCAACTTAAATGAAAGATATCAACAGTGACCACCAACCTGAAACTCTGCCATAGTTCTGAAACCACAATAGCAAAGCACTATCAATTGCTTCACTACTGCATAAATGTCATTAACGTGAAAAAGAACATGTATCCTATATAAATTCATATTTGTTCCAGACAGCATCCAAGCCTACATGATTATCCATATTAAAAAAAATTCACGTTGATGCGTATTTAACTTTTCACTAGAGATACTCAAAGCTTAAAAACTTCAGGAAGGTGTATAAACTCATCACTAGAGATACTCAAAGCTTAAAAACTTCAGGAAGGTGTATAAACTCACCGGTTATTGGATTGCACACAACAACAGGGTCATTGATGAATGGTTTGGAATAACTTATTTTTTCTTTTCCTAAGAATAGTATGTGTACTCCGAGTCCTAATAAAGTCACACCAACAAATATTCCGTGGTGCAATTCTCTCTCTGCAACAATTCTGGTTCTCATCATAAACTAATGAATATGGAGCCTAATACACTATGAGAAGCATCAACATATGTCTGTGTGCACATGTGTATCTAGTAGAGAGATTCCTGCATCTGACTGATAACAGGTAAACAAATTATGCAGAGACTCTATAAAAAGAGAACTAGTATACAAATAAGAATTAGTCTCCTATAGCAGTGACTCTACAAAAAAAAGAACTAGTATACAAATAAGAAACGGATCATGGAACACTAAATTATGCCTGCAAACTATTTCTATATAAACATTGCACAAAAAAGTTTAAGTCTTGTGGTTGCAGCAGCTCCATTTACAACATAATCATGGCGATGAGCCTAAATTGTAGATGATGTGATGCATGAAACCTCGCCCTGCAATTAAGTGAAACTAAAACCTCCATTCTAATAAGGGAAGAAGCGCAACCTAATTGTTAAGAGCAGGGGATTTGAGAAAGAAGTTATACGTAGTTCTGGCATTTATCCATAACTACAATTTAAAATCCATTCCATTACAGGAACTTCCACCACAACAAATGAATGAACTCAGAGTTATATCTTATGTGGACACAATTTATAAATAAAAAATAAAAAATTTGTCTGAGTGGACACAATTGTTTAGATGTTTTTTGTTTCCCGTTTCAATTTTCTCATTGTTTGGACGAATGCCATGCCGTAGTCTTATGACAGCAACTTAAGCAATAATAGAAAACTTCAAACAGTTAAAATGTTGGAAGTCACTCCAATTGTATAGATGTTTTTTGTTTCCCGTTTCAATTTTCTCATTGTTTGGACGAATGCCATGCCGTAGTCTCATGACAGCAACTTAAGCAATAATAGAAAACTTCAAACAGTTAAAATGTTGGAAGTCACTCTTTTTTCACTTCTGTTCAAACAGCTATTCTCTGGATCTGTGAAAGGAACAGATATATTCATTCATGCCCTAGTCTAAAGAAACAATGATAAAGACCCAACAAAAAATGAGAATTCCAGTGTACCAAATTATCAAAACGGAGAACTAAAACAACAATTGCAAAGAAGATACAGAGATTAAAGCCTAACAGCATAAAACAGTGAAAGAGGGCTTGGAAGTGAGAGAATTACCTGCAGAAATGTAGCCCTACTTCAACTTTCAGAGAGAGAGAGAGAGAGAGAGAGAGAGAGGGAGACCAAACTTGCCAATATAGTCAGAAAATGTACATCAAAGAAACAGCAAGACCAAACTGAAAAGGAAATAAAGATCAAAGTGGCATGTTTGTATTACTGGCTCTATATTAGGTACAAAAAATCAATAGAATAATGTATTACAATTAATGGTTCATGAAAAAGGCTTTCATAAATACAATTGAGTTTCATATGTAAACAATAAAGCTAAGCTAAGCTGCACCCATTATAGCAAAAGTTGATGGTTTTGGGCTTGGAACCACATGCCTTGACATGAGCTTCAGAGGAAGAATCTCCTGCTCAGAAAAACCAACATTTTCTTGAGTCATCTCCTCTGCATCTTCAGACTTCCAACTTCCAAGGGGTATGAAACTAGGACAATCCGGACCAGAGGAAGCCACTGCAGAAGACACTTGCTTAATTGGTGTAACCTCTCCAACCCCATTATCCAGTTTAGTGACAAATGGGTGATTCAAGAGCATAGCAGCAGTAAACCTCTCTGAAGTGTTCCACATAAAGCAACATTGCAAGAAATCTTTAGCCTCTTTTGATAACCAACCAGGAATGGTAGGAATTCTTGAAACAAGCAGGGCAGTCAACAGGTCCCGAACGTCAAATACGGCGCCAGGTGTGAAATCCCATGGATGCCTCCCAGTTAACATTTGCAGCACAACACAACCTAACGCCCAAATATCAGAAGGCTGCTGTTGAATTCCATAAACCACGGCTTCTGGAGACAAATACATTGGTGTGCCTCCAAAGGAAGGCTTCTCCCACTTCTGATTTGCCTTCTTTGTGAGCCCCAAGTCTCCGATTTTCGGCACAAAACGAGCACCACCAGAGGAACCAGCGGCATTAGACACAAGCAGAATATTCTCAGGCTTGAGATCACAATGCACAAAACCCCTTTCGTGGATGTACTTAATCCCTTTCAAAATCGACTCTGTATACTTTCTGACTTGGAATTCACGCAACCCAAAACCCCTTGATTTCTCAATCAAATCCGCCATTGTTCCTCCATCCGCGTACTCCAAGAATACATTGAATAAATGACGGCCATCAGCGCCAATCGTCTCATCCTCTCCATAGCAGTTGATAACAAAAGGGCAGTGACGAAAAATGTAAAGAAGAATATCTTCCCCCATCAGATCATGCGCCTGAGAGGCCAATGTCGATTTCACGGCCACAATCCTCGGCACACCCTTCAAACACAACCTGGGTTTTTTCACGAAACCCAAATAAACCGACCCAAATCCGCCTTGGCCGAGCATCGGCCCTCGAACCCACTCGCAGCCACTTAGTGAAATTGTCAAGTAATGATCTGCATCATCTGCAGAATCGTCTACAACTATTATCTCATCATGGGTTGCTCTTTTTCTCTTGAGACCCGCCATTGCTTTTGTACACTTTGTTCAAAAGTGAAGAACAAAGCTTTTTTCCGAGGATACAAAGATTCTGGGTTGTAGACGAAGAGAAGAACTTGTGAGCTAACAAAAACAAAAGAGACGACGGAGAACAAGAGCAGAACTTGTGGGTTGTAGAAGAAGCAGGGGAAGCAGATCGCAGATCGATTGATGAACGAACAAGTCGATGATGATGATGATATGAAGAAGAGATTTGGAATTTAAAGAAACCCTTCAGGCTTTACGAAAGATCTGCGTATTCTTGACGCTGTTGGGGTTTTTCGAAATCCAAGTTTCCCTTTCCTAGTTGCGTTGGGAAATTGGGTATATATAACTTTCCAACGGTCATTTTTTTCTTTTCGCCGCGGCCATTTATTGCGCTCTAATTAATAATCGAATAAAATATATTATTTTTCTCTTTTTTGAATTCAAATTTTGAAATCAGCTTCTAAATTTTTTTTTTTTTTTTTTTTTTTTTTTTTTTTTTTTTTGGTTTGAACGTAAATCTGAAGCTACTCTCATCAATATTACAGCTCTGAACTTATGTGTAATTAAAAAAATTTAGATTTTGTCGCTAGTGTATTTATGAACTTCAAACCTAAATATTATCAATTTTGGGGAATGCTAGCAACTTTCTCTTTAACTTAATCTTTTGGACCTTCTATCTTCTCTTCATGATATGTGTCACTTCTCTTTCACTTAAATCAATGTTTTTAATTAAAAAAAATATTAATTGTGTTTCCATATTTGTCCTTGATAAACCAGTTCAATTCTCCTGTTTCTTTTATCATCGTGGAAAACAAAAAAACTAATTCTTAAAGATAAAACAAAAATTAGACAAAAAAAAGGAGATGGAAATATGAAATTTAAAATAAATTAAATTAAATTAAAGTTCTGAACGCAAAATGAACAGCCACCAAAGCTTCACACCCAACCCCGCACCCAACCCCGGCGGCAACAAACCCTCTCCTCCTTGCCGGCAGCAAAGCCTCCTTTCCTCTCTCTCTCTCTCTCTCTCTCTCTCCTCTCTCTCTCTCTCTCTGTTCCACACCAGATCTGGATCTCTCTCATATGACCCTATGACCCAAAATATGTAATTGGGGGTAGAAAGCACGTATCTGATTTCCTTCGATTTGGTACAGTTTGGCGTTTTGGCAAACACATGTTAAGAGCAAAAGATGTCGTCTTGTTCCTGAACATCCATGGGTTATGCTATGTTCTCATCCCTTCTTCAACATACATCGTTGCTTTTTAAGTCTAAGTGATTGGAAAGTTCATAAATTGCTTTTTAAGTCTAAATAATTTATCTTGTTTGATCTAGATCCATATCTAATGTGGGAAAGAGAGAGAAAAGGTGTTTCCGGCGGCGGGAAGGAAGGGGTTTGCCCGCGTGGTTGGGTGTTTTTTTTTGTTTTTTTTTTGTTGGGTCTGATTTTTGTTTTATCTTTAAGAATTAGTTTTTGTGTTTTCCACGTTGATAAAAGAAACAAGTGAATTGGACTGGTTTATCCAGGGCAAATATGGAAACATAATTAATATTTTTTCTGTAATTAAAAACATTGATTTAAGTAAAAAAGAAGTGACACATGTCATGAAGAGAAAAGAGAAGTCCAAAAGAGAAAGTTAGAGAGAAGGTTGCTAGCATTCCCCTATTCATTTTATCTAAAAATTGTTTCTAATTCGTTTATAAATAAATCAATCAATCAATTTGGTCAATTTCAATTTAGTATCCTGAATTTCTCTATTTAAGAAAACAATTTAGTGTCGTGAATTTTTCACTAAATGGCATTGTAGTACACGTCTTTTCAATTTGAACACTTAAAAAAATTAAGTACTCATACGTTTAAAAAATCCACCACTGAACTCTAAGAAAAGGGCCTACTAAAATTCAAAGATTCTAACCCCAAAGGCAAAATCATCATCGTATATTTTAAATTAAATAATTAAATGCAAAAACACCTCGGACGGGTCGTTAAGTGTTTGTAATTTCCCACACCTTAAAAAATAATAATAATAATAATTCAGCCATATAATTATCAGGGAATTTTGCACTTATATCACCTAAAGAAAATTTTTTATCAGTTTACCACCCAAACTTCACTCTTAGTGCTAATATGCCACCTCCACTAACTTCTACTAAAATTTTTGTTAAAATCCTCACATGACAAGCACATGACTCTTCTTTTAAGGGTATTTGTGTCAATGATCATTTAAGAAATAATTATATATTTTAAAAAAATGATAAAAGTATTAAAATATGGAAAATACTTCCTTCTTTCATTGAAATTGACTAGCTCAACGTTGCTGCCAAACCGTACTTATAAAGACTTTTTTTAAGTGAGTGACTTTCATAGAATTGACATACTTTCACAAAGTTGATAAAAGTCACTAGTAAATTGGCAAGACTTTTGCTATTAACAATTAGCCTGAAAAGTATGGAAAATTCATTCATTTAATAAACTTTTAAAAGTCATTAACTTTTTAGATACCACCAAACTTTGAAGGACTTTTTAAAAATTACAACTGTATACCACCAAACTTTTAAATACTTTTAACTAGTTTTTAAAAGTCAAAATTGAATACAACCAAACTTTTATAAACTCTTTAAAAATCTAAATTGAATATCTCTAGACTTTTAATCTCTATAAAAGTCATTAAAAGTTTGAATTGGATACACACAATAAATATTTTTTAGTTAAGTTTTGTGTACATGCCAAACACATCATCAAATAAGCAGGCTCTACTCGTGCTACGTCAGATGACTTAACGATTGTTTTAATAGAGTTAATGAAATGGGGGGGTCTCTCGAAAGGAGAGGTGGGTCAACTAGGTTTTCAACAAAACGGCGGCTAGGGTTTTACCTCACAGCGACTAGGGTTTGGTTTTCTACGATTTTCTACTTATCTTTGTGGCTTTACGGGTGGTGGCTCTCGAATTGAACGTAAGGGAGTGCAACGGCTGGAGATTTCTCCGGGCAGACATACAAGTTTGGGTTCTTCTCTAATGCAATACGGTTCCTAATTTGAGCCTTGCATGATGGATGAGTTGGAGGAGAAGTTTGGCTCTCATATGCGTTTGTCTGACAAGGAGCGTGGAGGGCTACGAATTGAGGATGGGGAGAGTATTGATGTATTAAAGGGGTCTCAGTACACCCTGGTGGCAAAGGTTTTTACTCATAAGGCAGTCCATAGGGAAGGCTTTATTGGGGTGTTCTCTCGACTGTGGCGAGGTATGGATGGTGTTTCTATCAAGGAGATTGGTCTCCGCACCTTCTTGATCAGGTTTATGAGTCGGCAAGACAAGTTGCGGGTCCTGGATATGGAGCCATGGACTTACAGGGATAATTTAGTTTTGTTGGCGGAGACCCGACCGGGAACAGATGCGCGTATGGTTGACTTGACAACAGCGGTGTTTTGGATCCAAATCCATGGAGTTCCGCTTTTTAACATGACGACTGCAGTGGCCAGAAAGATTGGCTCTTTAATAGGGCACGTACTGGAAGTGGATCAGGTTGAAGGAGAAGAGTGTATTGGACGCTTTCTAAGGGTTCGGCTCCGGTTGGTAGTGGAACAGCCCCTTATGCGAGGATCCTTCATTGATTTCCCGGACGAAGGCTTAAAGTGGGTGACCTTTAAGTATGAATTTCTTCCTGAGTATTGTCTCATATGTGGATGTCTGGGGCATCCAAGTAGAAGCTGCGTGGAGAAGTTGGATGCCATGCATGACGCACCGGAATCCTTACAAGAGCGTCTGTTGGCCTTTACTGGATTGTATGCCAGTGAGGACCTTAGGGGGCGTCAATTACGAACGACTGGACGCAAATCTTCGAAAAAGCCAAGAGATAACGGCGGAGGGCATCAGGTTAATAGTGATAATTGGAGGTCTGGCCAGGGGGGTGATTCAGTGGACTCTACCTCGACACCATGTCGGCCTACGCCAGTCAGGTTCTCCTTAATGGAAAAGATTAGAGCAGAGCGAGAAGATGAGGACCGGCTTCGGCAGATGCGGGAAACGGCGTGGGAACTGGGTTTATTGGGACACGGGGCTGTTGGGCAGCAAAGGGAGAATTTTAGGGATACTAGGTTGCCCGATGGATCCTCCAACTGTTCCACACTAGGAAAGGAATTTCGATGCTCTGATGAAGATGGGCGTGCTATTGATTTAAACGCTGTGACTAGACCACTGCACAATGACTTGGAAGGGGGCGAGTTGGTGAACACTAATGGGGAAGGCTCTCTAGCTGCCATGTTGGTGGAGCAGGCATCACAGGGACGGCTGACCCAAGATTCTGATCCTTTCAACCTTGGGCCTCTTATTTGTAACTTGCAACATGGTGTTGTAGATGGTGGGCATTTGCATGGCAAAAGGGGACGCAATGAGTCTGAGATCATCAGGGCAGATAAAAGAGTCTGTAGAAAGATTCCTTTGACCTTAGAAGATGGAGGAGGAGAGGAATGCAGTCCGAATCGGAGTTTTTGGGCAACTAATCATTTGGAACAGGTGGAGGAGACCAGCCTTAATGGGTCTCCACGGGCGTTATGAGGCTTATTGTTTGGAATTGTCAGGGTATTGGGAGTGCTCTGACAGTTTCAAGCCTTAAGGAGCAGGTCAAGCTCCAAACTCCCGACATAGTGGTGCTTCTGGAAACTAAAAATAGAAGTACTCGCTATGAATATCTCAAACGACAGTTAGGAATGGCTTACATGCATGCAGTTGAACCACGGGGTCTGAGAGGGGGACTTTGTTTGTTTTGGAAAGACATGCAGAAAGTGGTCTTGTGTAAGTATGGGGATTTTTTCATTGAAGCAGTTATAAAAGATGATGTATCAGGAGCTCTGTGGCGGCTCTTTGCTATTTATGCGAGCACAGATGACCGTATCAGACGATCCCAATGGCAAGCTCTCCAGGATAGGGTACACCGTAGTAATGATGCCTGTCTCTTGATGGGGGATTTCAATGATATTTTGGATGAAACAGAAAAGCTAGGGGGGCTCTCTCGCTCTGAGCGAAGTATGCAGGACTTTCGGAGTTTTGTTGCCGATACTCACCTGTTGGATTTAGGCTATGTGGGGCAACCTTTTACTTGGCGTAATCGGCGGCAGGATGGTGCAATTTGTGAGCGCTTAGACAGAGGTTTAGCTACGGGCCAATGGGTTGCTATGTTCCCGGATGCGACGGTACATCATTTGGCGGTGGTGGGCTCTGATCACCTTATGCTCATGCTCCACACTCAGGTTCCACTTAGTAAATGGCGTAAACGCTTCATTTATGATCCTCGGTGGGGTGAAGCTGAGGGCTGTCGGGGGGTGGTGCAGCAGCGGTGGGCACGACAATTTACTGGATCCCGAGGGGTACAAGTGACAGAAAAATTAAGGGGGGTACGGCGGGGTTTGCTGGATTGGAGACGAAGTGAATGGCGGAGTTCGAAGGCTAGTATTGAGCTCTTACGGAAAGATTTGTGCCAAGCATATTTTGCTCCTGACCTTCATTGCGAGATGATTCGGCATATGGAAAATAAACTTAAAGAGGCTCTGCATGATGAAGAAGTGTATTGGAAACTGAAATCAAGGGTACATTGGCTCAATGAAGGGGATAAAAATTCAAAATTCTTTCATTCAAAAATGGTTACTCGAAGAAGGGCCAATAGGATACTGGGTCTGGAGGATTCCCACGGACATTGGTGTGATAGTCCGTCGGATATTCATAAAATTGCGGCTGCCTACTTTGAGGATATTTTTACTTCGTGCAACCCTACCAACATTGCTGAAATTACTGGGTGTGTTCATCGAAAGGTTACGGCGCAACATAATGAAGTTTTACTACAGGAGGTAACTACTGAGGAAATTTGGTCTGCTGTGCAATCTTTACATCCTACTAAATCCCCTGGCCCAGATGGTTATACTGGGAGTTTTTTTCATCAATTTTGGGATGTTATTGGGCCTGATATTAATGGATTGGTGAAGAGTTTCTTTCACTCAGGGCGTTTACACAGAAAACTCAATCACACTCATATAGTTTTGATACCAAAAGTTGGTAATCCGAGGAAGATGACACAATGGAGGCCTATTGCTCTTTGCAACTTAGTTTACAAGATCATTTCGAAGATTTTAACACTTCGCCTGAAAAAGGTTTTACCGGCCGTGGTGAGTAGCAACCAATCGGCTTTTGTGGAGGACCGATTAATAACTGACAATATTCTTATTGTGCATGAGATTCTGCATTCTTTGAAGTCTGAGAGTCGTGCCGGAGGGTCTGGCTTGGCACTCAAATTAGATATGGCCAAGGCCTATGACCGGGTAGAATGGATTTTTCTTGACGCCATGATGCGGCAATTGGGTTTTGATCCCACGTTCTGTCAGTGGATTTTTGAATGTATTTCCACAGTGACGTATAGCATTTTGCTTAATGGGGAGGCATCACGGCCGATCTCACCATCTCGGGGTCTCAGGCAAGGGGATCCTTTATCCCCCTTTTTATTTCTAATTTGTGCTGAAGGCTTATCTGCTTTGCTACATCGTCATGAAGAAAGGGGATCCCTTCATGGTTTTAAGCTCCGTCCCCAAGGGCTCAGTATTTCGCATTTATTTTTTGCAGATGATTCTGTCATATTCTGTCACACTGAAGAACGAGAAGTTTATTGCTTAAAGCAAATTTTGGACTGCTATGCGAAGGGCTCAGGTCAGTGCATTAACTTTGACAAGAGTTCTATCTTCTTTGGAAGGAAATGCCCAGCAAGATTGAAAGGTCAACTGGCACATATCTTGGGGGTTCGGCAGAGTGGGGATTTTGGAAAATATCTTGGGTTAAACGCAGATTTTGGGACGTCTAAACGAGGAGTGTTTGAAATGGTGCGTAAAAGGATTGCTTCAAAACTTTTGGGCTGGGCTGAGCAATACTTATCTTCTGCTGGCAAAGAGGTACTGATAAAGGCGGTGGCTATGGCTATGCCAAATTATTCTATGTCATGTTTTAAACTTCCGGTCAGTTTGTGTAAGGAGATTGAACGGGACATTGCTAATTTTTGGTGGAAGGGACAGAAGGATCGTAGAGGGATTCATTGGGTAAGTTGGCAGAAATTATGTCAATTTAAGAAGGCAGGGGGGATGGGTTTTCGAGACCTCCTGTGTTTTAATCTTGCTATGCTTGCGAAAATTGGCTGGCGGATACTTCGGAACCCCAACTCCTTGCTTGCTAGGCTCTTACAGGAGAAATATTATGTTCATTCTGATTTCATGCATGCTGTGTGTGGTCGGAAGGTCTCGTGGGGGTGGAAAGGCATCTTGCAAGGCCGCAGGATTTTAGAGGCTGGGCTTCGTTGGCGTATCGGAAATGGGGAGAATGTTTGCATTCAGCAGGATCGCTGGCTGACCACACCATCTCCTTCATTGATTCACTCTCGACATCTTGACATGCCGTTGATGGTGCATGAGCTCATAGATCAGAATATGAGATGTTGGGATATGGATCTAGTGAATCGTTGTTTTAATCCAAATGAAGCAAAATGTATCTCCACCATACCAATTAGCCGATGGGGATGTCCAGACAAAAAGGTTTGGCATTACACCTCTCATGGTGGCTACACTGTTAGATCGGGGTATGCAGTGGCATTAACTTTACGGCGGAACGGAGAGCTGGGCAGGAAAGCAGAAGGAGAGAGCAGTCAAGGGGATAAACAACGACGTATATGGAAAAGCATTTGGGGATTGCAGGTGCCTCCTAAGATTCGAACTTTTCTTTGGAAATGCTGTCGTAATGTTTTAGCGGTGAAGGAAAATTTATTACATCGGGGAATTGATGTCGAAACTTCGTGTGCTTTATGTGGACAAGAAGGGGAGTCCCAAGTACATGTATTTTTCAAGTGTGAGTTTGCACGATTGCTTTGGTTTGCTTCTCCTATACAATTGGATCCATGTCATATTTTGGGAGAGGATTTTATTGTTTGCTGGGAAAATTTGCTCAAGAAGTACGAGCAGGTAGAGCACTGTAACGATATTCTGCAGGTATGTGCATTTGGGTTATGGAGGATTTGGAAAATTAGGAATGGAGCTGTTTTTGAGGGAACGGTGATTGAGCCTCATGTTGCTGTGGAGTGCTTCCTAGACCAGGTTCATGAATTTCGAACGGCTCAAATGCATGGGAAGCCACTCATCAACGAACTTCCTCGTCCACCGGAGGTTCAAGCGGAGACGGTGACTTCTTGGCGAAAACCGCCGTATGGGGTGCTCAAAGTTAACTGTGATGCTGCTTGGGTGTCGCAGACACAAATGGGAGGTGTAGGATGGGTGGTGCGCGACTCAGATGGATGGATGGTTCAGGCTGGTGGTAAGGGTGACATGAGGGGTGGATCAGCGTTGGCGATGGAGGCTGAAGCCATTCGAGAGGCTTTGGTGGCATGCGTTCAGAGTGGTTTGTCGAAACTAGAGGTTGAATCTGATTCTTTACAAGTTATTCGTATGATTGGTGGGGAGTGGAATATGGATATTGCAGTGGACACCATTGTATTTGACATAAAGCAATTGGTGGGCCAATTTCAACATTGTGTTTTCCTGTATACCCCTCGTAATTGTAACAAGGCAGCGCATAAAATTGCGGCCTTTGTGTCCAGAGTTGGTGGAGTCCATACGTGGGATGATTTATGGCCTGAGTGGATTTTTGATATTCTTGTCAGTGATGTAAACCTTACTATTCGTCTTTAATAATATTCTCTCTTCGTTTGGAAAAAAAAAATAGAGTTAATGAAATGAGGCAAAGTGAGACATGAATTTGATATTTGGAGGGTAAAATAAGACAAACTAAGTTTCAGGTGATAAATTAAGACTAGAATTGAGTTTTTAGGTGGCAAATCAATAATTAAGCCAAAAATAAAAAATAATCACATGGTTCACTAACCAGAAAAGTAGCCAATGTATGACATTATCAATACTTCAGTAACATGAGAAACGGTTGCACTCTGACATTCACATGACATAATACCTATATGGAAAGAGAAACAGTTGCATGAACTGGCTTACATTGTTTTGCTATCTCTAACGAATAACGCTTTGGCACGCTAATAATTTTTCTATGCGGCAAAACATTATTGACTGAAAATAGGAACCAAGTTTTTCTCATATGGAAATGCAATTAATATCGTATCTATTACTAAGAGTTCGTTCAAATCAATCTATCAATGAAAAACATAGTTGTATACCCTTTCATCGAATTGAAAGCGAAAAATATCCACACACAAAAATCCACGTGGTTCACCAACCAGCAAACTAACAAAGATCGGAACTGCTGTGCCCAAAATTCAGTCCCCTCTGTGTTCCTCCATATTTGCTTGATAGGCGTCCTTCAATTTATAACAAGGTTAACTCTGTTGTGTTTTATTTTTCTACATTAAAAAAACTAAAAAAAACCCCAAAATACAAGGGAGTACAGAAGGCTTTTGTTCTCATATGTTGTCCATGCTCTGCCTTGAAACAGTAGCTTTGAATCATCCACGGCAATCTCAAACCCAGTAGCTTTTTTGCAGAGACTTAAAATAGTTGCAATAGTGAAATCATCACCTTCTATTGTTCTTCTCTCTACCTCCTTTTTCCTCTCAATCTTCTTCTGATAGACATACAAAATTCACTCTTTCATGAACTTTATCCTCACTGTCCAGCAAAACCAGGAAACAGTAGGAGGCACCAAAGTCTGCACAACAAACAAACTAATTAACAAGTGACTTGGGACAATAAATTTTCATAGTTAATGTTCCAACTAGTGTAACACAGTCTGTCAATCACATGATCTATATAACATACTTATCCAGGACATGTCAAATTCCAACATCGTCAACAGTCCTTACTATGATTTGATTCTCTGAAACAAATTCATTTGCATGAAACATGCTCGTCGTCTCCAGCAAGGTGAAATATTCATATTGTACCACACCACCAATGTAGCCAAAAAAGGAAGATAAAATTTTGTGTATAACCTTCCATCAGTTGTAAGCAACAATGGAAAGATACCCCATTTTATCTGTATAATGTTACAATATAAATGTGTATTGATTTGTACATTTCCGTACAACAGTCCAAATCTCAAAACTTATTTTACTGCTCAATTTCCTAGTTAGCAGGCAGCACGAAAGAATGAAAAGTCCACAAGAGAGAACTTGCTGAAACACTGGAACCATGTGCAACAAGTTGAAAAGCACTAATGGGAAGTCCCTGCTTATTTTGACTGCAACTATAAAATGAAAAGTCTTTATAAACCATGTGATCCAAATTCTACAAACTAGTGCATGTTATGTTATCATGGTAAATAAGAAATCTGTCCAAAAATATTTAGTTGACAGAACGAACAACCCAATGCTGTAATTGCAAATTATTACTACAACTGTGAATTTCTAGTGGAACAGAAAAAGGCAATCACTAATTTTACCATTACGTTCTATGATATAATAAAAGCAACAGCATTAGGGGCGAGTACCATATTACAACTAAAAAGGAAACAGACTCACCTGAGCTTGGTCGAACATAATAGCCAGAAGATTTTTGTAACAGAAGTTGTCATGACCCTAACAGAACATAGAACATGAAGACAATGTGGAATTTGAGACTTGAAATCTTCTAGGCTGCCCTTCTGTTGATATTTCTCCTGAAGTGAACAATCAAGTTACGTAGGAAAGAGCAAAATGAGGTATAGAGTTGTTATTGATTTAACATCTAAAGAAAGTGCACCATAAATCAAACTCATCACAGTAGTTAGAAATACTATCAAATAACACAAGGACTACTTGTACACCTTCATAATGCAAGGCATACAAGGACTAAAACTACATGACCACTTTCATTGCATAGCCTCTTAAACAACTCCATACAACATTTACCATACAGAGAGCAGAACCAGAACTACATGATCCTCTTGTTAGTTTCTTGTAAGACTTCATGTTGTCCTTTAGCTGAAACTAGGCTCTCCACATAAAAATGGACTTCTAAGGAACAGCGAAGGCCACAAATTGGAATGTGTTTAGCTTCTTCACTACTTGGATTGTACAAAACCAGCTCCCCTTTTCTACTTTCCATATAAATTTCACCATATAAACCGCATCCCAGTGGCCTCTCAATTCCAAGCAGGGGTCCAATTGTCCATTCCCTTTTCCAAAAAACCTCAGCATCATGCTCAATCATTTTCCATACATAAATCTCTCTTTGCCTCCCACTAAAATTATACACTATCAAATAAAGAGATTGCTTTAATTCCGCCAGTTTTGTGCACATCGGGGTTTCTAGAAAGCTTAAATCTGGCAACTGCAAATCCCCAAACACATCATCACACATGTCAAACGATACGATGAATTCACGAACCCCCCTGCCATATGCAATCCAATAAAGCAAACCGTTCAGAGCCGTGCACGAATGTTCATATATTTCAAAGTGAAAAGTATTAACCTCCTGCCAACAATCCATTTTTTGAGAATACACCTCCGCCCGTATCCAAGCATTACCAAAGCAAGACAAAGACACAATCCTCACAACCTTATAGTCATCAATAAGAGGGTGGTGCCCAAATCCGTGGGCAACACCACGGACCTGAACATTATCATCATCATTGACAGAATCAATAACTGAGTCTGGTAGGACACTAAATTCCCTTATAGCAGGGTTCCACAACAAAATCATAGGTGACCAAAGATGAGCAGATTTATCATGAGCGAAACAAAGTAAGCCATTAGAAGACCCCACAAGTTTCAAGTGATGAGAATCCATTACAGATGATGGTATCTCCAATTTTGATAACATGTAACCATTTGTGCCATGTAAAAGCAGAGAAATGACGTTCTTACGAGTAACATTGCAACGGTACTTTACCAGAAGGCGTCCACTTTGGTCTTCTTTTGCAATATTGAGATTGAGGTGCTGAGAAATGAAATGGGGGTCTCTGATCAGAGCTTTCCATTCTTTGCGTACTGAGCTGAACCGAACCAGAGATTTGGCGGGTAGTCTTGAGAGAATGTCAGCCGTCAGATGCTCAGGAAAGGCCATATGAAAACGATGAAAACGATGGTCTTCTTGCAAAGGGGTTTTGAAAATGTTGGTGTAAAGAAAATAAAAATTGGCTGAGACGCTAGAAGAAATTGAAGAGCCAAGAAGGGAAAGAAACAGACATGTTTTGAAATCAATATACGCTTGTAGCAGCAAGCTCTCTGAAGAAGAAGCAAATCTTTTCAGGAGGGCTCAAGGAAGCTGTGGGTGGAACCCATTTGAGATGCTCTATGATATAAAGTTTGGACTGTGTAGCATCCTGAGGTGTTGTTCTCTTTTAAGTAAGAAAAAAAAATGTTGGTTCAATTTGCCATTGACGTTTAAGAAGAGATCTGGTATTGGCAAGGTAGTTGAGAAGACAAAAACTGTAGAAGTAGGACAATTCTCCGCTAAAAAAAAGTAGGACAATTCTTTCTTTCTTTTTGGTCTGAAAGTAAACAATTCTTGGGTCATGTCTATTGAGGGAGAATCTTGATTTTCTTTCTGATGTGGCCCAATGAGCTGAAAAACAAATGTCATCTTTGTTTTAGAAATAAAAATTGTAAGTTTATAGGTAGAGTTCTCCTGGTAAGTCGTAATTTCGATGGCTTTGTTTTACCTAATGGAAGTTCTTTTGCAAGTTTTGTAATCCGTGATGAAAATGCTAAACCTCTATTTGCAGATAGAAGCTCTAACTTTAAAGCAAGCAATTATATGGGCATCCAAGTTTCGATTATTGTCTCTAGAAATTGAAGGTGACTTCAAAGCCTCATATAAGTACTTGGCTTATTTATTGATATGCTATGTAGCACGGACACTTCATCAGGCCGAAGTGTGGGAGTGTCGGATATGTGGACACGGCTTGGACACAAGTTAATGGTCAAGACATTTTTGGACACGGTCAATTGAAGTCAAGACACGACAAGGACTATTTTGAAAAGTATAAAACAACAATTGGGGTCAAAACACAATTATTGAAAACTATGTGGACATATTTGAAATATGCTTAAAAAGTGGGCTAACAATGTAAACAATATTTTTAATTTTTCGTTGGTTCCTTCATAGTAGGGCTGATATTTTTGGTTGACTAAGGATATTGATGTCAATTTAGTCGTGAGAGAAGCATCTTTTTGAGTGGGTAATTCATTCACTTTTTTTTTATTTATAATTATAAATTTTATTTATTTATTTATGCAAACTTGATTCTTATTTTATGGAGTGGGAAATCATTTTTCTTATTTTGAAGATGATAGATCATATACAAAAAATGTGTGAAATTTTGTTTATGATGAATCATGAATATGTGTGAATACATACGTGTCATTCTTTATTTTGTTTGTTAAAAGATGAGTAATGCTAAGTTAACTCAAATGAGTATGAATTTGTTTTATGCTATTATGACATTGAAGTATTGAGTACGATTTTTTTATATATAAATATATATAAGTATATATTATTATTATTTTATTAGGATTTATTATTATTTTAATTGTCGTGTCCGTGTCTTAATTTTTTGAGATTTTCTTTGTCGACATGTTGCTGTGTAGCGTTTCTATGCCTCATTCCATCAATTTAAACAATAACACTGTTCATTTGCTTACGTGGCGTGGACATTTTAATAAGGCTTATTAGCTAAAATGCCCTTTGAAATGTTGGTCAAATCTCACTTTGCACCGTGAAACTGAAAGTGACCCATATACACCATTTGACCGTGGTTTCGCGTTTCACTTTACCCCATGCCGTCAACTCTATTCCTAACCCCGTAAAAATTGTTGACGTGGCAGCGGCAATTTCATCATTTTGTCTCATATGGCATACAAACATTTTTAAAAATTGAAAATTCTCTTAAATAATTAAAATTTAAACATTAATAAATACCCAAAAAAAAACCCAGAAACTTCTTTCCCCAACCCATACCAACCATCTCCACTCAGCCCCACTTCGATGTCACCACCACCTGTCCACTTTCCTGCAGCTCTATTGCGACCTCAGCATACCAGATCAACCCACTACAACAATGCTCGTATCCCATCTCTCTTAGCCCACGAAACCCACCTCATCCCACAACCGCTCTTCTCGGACAGACCCCACCATCGCACAACCACCAGCCACTTCCACTCAATCACCTCCAGCACATTCATCCACCAACCCCAAACCACACAACTCCAAATCGCACAACTCCAAAACACCAACCTGCACCTAACCACCTCCAACAAATCCATCCTTACCCAGCCTCAATTGATCCCCCGCCCCAAATCACAAGCCCGAATTGATACCCCACCCCATATTGCACAAACCAAACTATCCCCCACCCCTCTTCCCCAAATTTGGCTTTCAAGTTAAGAAGAAGAAAAAGTCGAAATCAGGGAAAAGAAAATGAAGAAAAAGCAGAAAAGAAAAGAAAAAGAAAAATGGAAAGTAGGTTGCGGGAGAAGGAATAATATAACATTTTTATTATTATTAATTTTTTATAATGAAATTCTTATAAGAGTATAATAAATACTATCGTTGTACCTAGATTACAAAAGAACACAACTTGCTCTAGTGGTAAGGACCAATTATTGGGTATTGGAGGTCATTGGTTCGAATCCTCAGGTGCCAAGCACCTGCCGAAGCTCCCAAATTGCCAAAACTACTCTCCGTGACACGTGTCACCACCACAACGACTTGCACAAAGTCCCACATCAGAAATCTACACACACCTCCCACTTTCACTTCCCTATAAATAGGTAACAATACCCTAGTAAAAAGGACAACTACTTTCTTACCTTTTACTATTACTCTACCAAAGTTACTACTCTTAGCTGATTTAAGCATCGGAGAGCCTTCGGCCGGCACCACACCGGTGTCCAAAGCTTAACGATTGCTTCTCTTACTTTGTATTCTGTAGGCTAGCCCCTTATCAAAGGTCCACACATTTCCTACTGCTGAAGACAAACCCTTTTTCTCTAAGTTGACCCTTTTCGAAAAAGAGCATCAACAGTTTGGCGCCGTCTGTGGGAAACGATACTTGAATCCCATTTTTCTCTACTAGCCCAGCTGGCTCCTTCTCCTATCCAGCCTTATCGCCTCTTCTTCACTCCACATTCTGCTATACTGACCGAGGATAGCCATAATACTCAGCACTATACTCCCCGCGAGGGTACCTCCCGAAGGAAACCTTCGGTATATGTCAATCTTCAGGCAGAGGTGGAGCTCCTCCGCGCTAGCGTCACCAAGATGTCTGAGAAATACAATCATCCTCATGCCAAGAACGTTGAGCTAGAACATGACTACCACACCCTGAAGCGTAACTGGGAGAAGGCGCAGGCACCAGGTTCCCAACTTGAGTTTACCTAGGATGTTGAACTCACCCAGCCAAACCAGCCAGTGCCTTCTCACCACAACGCCCCGGTCCAGCCTAGGCTCAACAAGGGTAAAGGCCCTCTTTACCCAACGACAACTAAGTCGCAGCTCCTTCACATCTCCCCACCGAGGGATCGGCCCCATGAACCGGTGAAGGTCTACAAGGATTGTAGGGACCGTCTCTTGGACCGTCAGACAGACCCAATCCCCATATCCGTTAAACCCAAAGACCCAAGGGTGGCACACCTAAGCCCCCCACCGAAGCCCAATCAACTACCAGCAGGAGAAGGTGCAGGTGACTCGGAGAACTAGGGGTGGTACTACTCCGAAGACTACGAGTCTTATCACACCGAGGCATTCGAAGAATATGAACCTTCCCCAACCCTTGGCCACCCACACCTCAGGCTTTCAGCACCCGAGCCCCTCCCTCATGCCAACTTGGCCATAAGGCTTTTCTTCGAGAAGGTTCGGCGTCTGGAGAATGAGCAACACCGCAATCACTAGCCCCTCTGGGCAAAGCCACGACCTGGGCCCTTCACCGAACGCATCCTTAATTACCACCACTAGAAGGACATCCAGCCACTCCGCATCGCCTTTTACACTGGCACGGAGGATCCTCTCACCCACATACATTCTTTCCAGTCTGCCCTAGGGTGCAAGGGCCTCACTAATGAAGGCATGTGCCTCCTCTTCCTTTCCATTCTCAGCGGTGTGGCCCTGAATTGGTTCTACAGGCTAAACCCCCGCACCATTAACTCATTTGACAGTCTAAAGCAAGCCTTCCTGGACCATTTCATGATCTAGACTGACCGATTATACTTCGCCGACGACCTGTACATGCTTCGACAGGGTGAGGACGAGCCACTTCGGGAGTAAGCAGCTCGGTTCAGCCACGAATACTCCCACTGCCCAAAGACTGATGACCGCGTTGCCTTCGATGCTTTCAAGAGTGGCCTCCGCGAGTCCAACTTCCGGTACCTAGTCCACAGCAACCCTTTGAACACATATGCTGAGCTAATGAAGCAGGCAACAGGTCATGCCAAGGTGGAGTACTTCAATTCCAAGCATGGCCCAGCCACCTCGGCACATAACGCTTTTGCTAATCCTCCACCTACTTCAGTATCCAGCCCAGCCCCACCTCAACATTCTACTCCCACCCCAAGTACCCAGGGTACCCCACACCCAAAAAGGAAGGATAGATATCAGCATACCTTCAGCAATAGCAAGCGTGGCAGACATGACAACCACCACCAGTCTAGTGGAAGCAACCTTCCCAGGATAAGTGATCGAGCGCCACTCCCCTTCACACCCAAGCCTAGGTTCGAGGTCTTCACTACACTCAACACCACGTACGAGAATGTCCTGGTGCACGAGGCACCTATCATACCCAAGCCTCATCCTCGGAAACCAAGCAGTAAACCTATGCCCAATACGGGTGTCTTCTGTCACTTTCATCAGTTCGGTGACCACGATACCAAATCTTGCGTTGCTTTGCGCAACATCATTGAAGGCCTCATCTGTGAGGGCAAGCTGGACAAATATGTGCATCATCTCCCACCCCTTCCACCTAACCCTTACCAACGGCAAATCAACATGATATCAACCATCAGTAGTGGCCCTATCATGGTTGGAGCCTCCAACAACTCCATCAAACATTATGTCCGCTCCACCTATGAGCACCAAGTCTTCAGCACTGAGCAGGGACGCCTGCCGAAGACACAAAAATCAGGCGGGGCTCCAATTACCTTTTGTGAGGAAGAAGAGTGTGGTGTCATTCTCCCCCATGATGACCCAATCATTATTTACGCCGACATTTCTAACTTCGATGTTGGATATATCTTGGTGGACACTGGCAACTCGGTCATTGTGATGTTTGCTGATGCTTTCAACGAGCTCCAGATCCCATCTCACTTGCTTGACCGAAGCATCACACCCCTAGTGAGCTTCTCCGGTGATGTTGTCCAGCTCATTGGAAGCATCCATCTCCCTATCTCTATTGGAGCAACACCCCAGCGGGCGACAGTCACCACTCCCTTCCTCATTATTGACAGCCCAACAGCCTACAACGTCATACTTGGTGCCCGAAGCTGCTATGCTTTAGCAGTCAAATCCACCAATCCCCAGCCTAGGGGTGAGGCCCTCGCAATAACTAGTAACTCAGGCCCCAGCCCCTCCTCAAGCTGGCACTGAGCGACTTGAAGACCCTAGGGAGGAATATATCACTCAGCAGGCAAACCTGTGGAAGACCTTGAGCTGGTCACTCTCCATGATGACATCCCGGATTGGCACCTTCCTCTCACTAGAGCTTCGCTCTGATCTCGTCGCCTTCCTCCTCCTCAACTCTGAGGTCTTCGCCTGGTCTTACAATGACATGCCTGGCATATCACCAGACATCATCTCCCATCGGCTAAGCATTAATACTGTCGTCTGACATGTTCGATAGAAGCGTCGTGCTTATGACCTAGAGCGGTATGATGCCATGAGGGCAGAGGTGGATAAGCTAAGTACCATTGGATTTATCAAGGAAGTAGACTATCCCACTTGGCTGGCTAATGTGGTGATGGTTCGTAAACCAAAAAAGGGTTGGCGCATGTGTGTAGACTACACCAATCTTAATCGGGCATGCCCGAAGGATAGCTTCCCCTTACCCCGCATTGACTAGCTGGTGGACGCCATAGCTGGCCATGCCCTCCTCAGCTTCATGGATGCTTACTCTAGGTACAACCAGATCTTCATGCACCCTAAAGACCAAGCCCACACCTCCTTCATCACGAATCGTGGTCTAAACTGCTATAAGGTGATGCCTTTCGGGCTCAAGAATGCTGGGGCTACTTATCAACGCCTGTTGAACAGCCTCTTCGCCCCACTGATTGTTAACACCATGGAGGTTTATGTTGATGACATACTAGTCAAGAGTCGCACTGCTGACCAGCACATCCTTAACCTCTCTGCCATGTTCACCATGTTGAAGGAGTATAGAATGAGGCTCAACCCTACCAAGTATACATTCGGGGTGGCTTCAGGCAAATTCCTTAGCTTCATGATCAGCCAGAGAGGTATTAAGGCCAATCCAGAGAAGATCCAGGGCATCTTAGACATGACGATACCCAAGACGGTTAAGGACATTCAGAGCCTTACCGGGCGTGTCGCAGCCCTGACCAGATTCATCTCCAAGGCTACTGATCGCTGTGCCCCATTCTTCAAGGCACTTAAGGGTAGCAAACGAAGTATTACCTGAACTGCCGAGTGTGACAAGGCCTTCAGTGAGCTCAAGGAGTATATGAGCCGGGCCCTTTTATTGTCAACCCCTGAGCCTGGAGACATCCTCGTGATTTATCTCTCTGTCTCGGCTAAGGCGGTTAGCTCTGTGCTCATCCGGCCAAAGGAAAGTGCTGAGCACCCAGTGCATTATGTTAGCAAAGCATTACAAGATGTCGAGGTTCCATACCTGGACATTGAGAAGTTGGCCTTCGCACTGGTAGTCTCGGCTAAACGTCTTCGACTATACTTCCAAGCTCACACCATCCATGTCTTAACCAACCAACCGCTTAGGCAAGTGTTGCAGAATCCAGAGACTTTTGGGAGGTTGGTTAATGGGCCATTAAACTTGGTGAATTTGATATTCACTACAAACCCCGCCCAGCTACAAAGGGCCAAGCTGTTGCTGACTTCATATCAGAATTCACAGATCCCCAAGCTTCGACCTCTACCCAGGTCATAACCGAACCCAATCTTCCTTTGGGCCAGTTCCACGTCGCCAGCAATGGCAACCTCGACCTGACCCAGCCCTTATGGACCTTATATGTGGATGGCTCATCCAATGCCCAAGGATGTGAGGCCGGCCTTGTTCTCATCTCCCCAGACAAGATTGTCCTTGAGTACGCCCTCCGCTTCAAATTCCACGCCTCCAACAATGAGGCAGAATACGAAGCACTCATAACTGGCCTTCGGCTAGCCAATGAGATAGGCGCCAAGCAAATTCAGATATTCAGCGACTCACAGCTCGTTGTCCATCAAGTCAACCAGGACTTCACAGCCAATGACATCTCTATTACAGCCTACCTCCAGCATACCTGCCATTTGCTTGCAACATTCGACGCCCATCTTATAAGCCAGGTACCACGCTCTGAGAATAGCCATGCTGATGCTTTGGCCAGGCTAGCCTCGTCCTTGGAGCAGGGCATAGGTCGCAACATCCACATTTAGTTCTTGGATCAGCCCAGCACACAGGCACCACTCATCTGTACCATTGATCACAGCCCTACATGGATGGACCCCATCATTCAGTTCTTGCATAATCAAACCCTACCTGCTGATCCTGCTGAAGCACGACATGTCTAATCATCAATGTCGCCTTCTACAAGCATGGCTTCAGCCTTCCCTACCTTCGGTGCCTGACCCCAGAGGAAGGTAACTATGTCCTAAGGGAGATCCATGAGGGTATCTGCGGCAACCACTTAGGTGCTCGCTCCCTAGCACACAAGGCTATTAGGCAAGGATATTTCTGGCCATCACTTCACACTGATGCCCAGGCCTTCACCCAGAAGTGCGATAAGTGTCAGCGATTTGCCAACATCCCACAACTTCCAGCTGAACCATTGACAACCATGGTCAGCCCTTGCCCATTTACCCAATGGGGACTTGACCTCATTGGACCTATGCCAAAGGGCACGGGCCAAGTCAAGTATGCAGTTATGGCGGTAGACTATTTCATCAAATAGGCTTAAGCTGAAGCCTTAGCCACCATCACTACAGCCCGCATCGAAACTTTTGTTTGGAAAAATATCGTATGTCTCTTTCGCATCCCCAACACCATCGTCACAGACAATGGCCGGCAATTTGACAATGCAAAGTTTAAACAATTTTGTTCTAACCTCAAGATACATCTTTGCTTCGCCTCCCCAGCCCATCCTCAGTCCAATGGCCAGGTTGAAGCTGTGAACAAGATCATCAAGAAAACTCTAAAGCACCACCTTCCGTACCTCAATAGGAGAAACACCGTTCTCTCTTTCCTTTGGTATTGAAGCCGTGGCACCAGTGGAGATTGGCTAGCCCACATACCGAACCTCCACTTATGAGGCCAAAGCCAATGACGAGCAGTTAGCTCTGAACCTCGACTTCATTGACGAGCTTCGTGACCAATCCAACATGCGCAATGTCGCGTACAAACAACGCATCGCTAAGTACTACGACTCTCGAGTCAAACCCCGTGCTTTCAAACTTGGGGACTGGTTCATGCGCAAGGTTTCCTTAGCCACCAAGAATCCTACTGAAGTTACTTTAGGCCCTATACATGGGAAGGTCCTTATGAGGTTACCAAAGTCTGCCGACCCGGCGCATATCAGCTTTGCGATCCCAAGGGCAAGACCTTGCCACATCCTTGGAATGCTGATCATCTCAAGTACTTCTATAAGTAAACATACCTAGACCCTAGGACATTATGTTTTCTTATACTTTGGTTTTGAGCCATGACTCTGTACCTTCTGCCCTTCGGCACCTACTTAATGAAACGCCTGACTCTGGCTACTTCTCATCAATCACATGATTATCATTTTGCTTGCACAACTGATATCAAATGAAAACACAAGTCTAATATCATAGCAAATCAAAATAACCTTGCCCCAGGCAAGACAAAATGTTCATACAAAACAGAAATAAACATAAAGTGTTTTAAATAAATAACTGCAATACATAAAGAAGGCAACGCCTTCAAGACTTGGTGGAAGGGGCATCCGTAGTGGCTGGCTCTGGCTCTGGAGCAGTATCGGTGCTAGGACTAGGTGAAGGAGGCTCACCGCTCATATCAAAGTTAATCTCCACCAAAGGTTTGAACCTCGCCAACCTCTACTCCCAACACAGCTGCATAGCCACCAGCTGATCCATGATGTAGTTCCTCAGCTCCTCTGAACCCCTAAACGACTCGATCGCTTCGGCTCGGACATCAGCTATCTTTTCGGCCTTCTTCTGCTCCATTTCGCCCCGGGCAGCAGCCACCTCCTCGGCCCTCAACCGCTTCAGCTCCTCCACTTCTCTGGCCAGCGCCGCCTTTTGCAACAGCATGGTGTTTTTCTCCCGGATGGCATCTTGCGCCTCCACTATCTTGTCCTTGGCCATCTCATTGCGCCTCTTTAGCCTCTAGATCTCCTTATCTACCTTGGCCATATTCACATACATCTCGCCATAAGCCTGCAACATAAAGCATCATCAGTCAAAGGCAAACTAGTATGATAAGAACAAATTCATAAAGCAAGACAACTTACATAGGCATAGGTAAGAAATGGCTTCTAGGCCTGATCTGCATAGGAAGTGGCCGGTGTCCTCGCCAGAACCTCAGGGTCACACTTCACGCCTTCCAGGAAGACGTTCACCAAGGGAACCTCCCTCCGATGCATGGCCAAGTTCACCTCTTTCTTCTGCTGATGCAGCCTGGAGAAGTCCATCTTCTCCACCCCCTCAGCATAAACGTCCTCCATACTGAAAGGGAGCTTCGGCGGCGCCTGCAGGTCAAAGGGAGGAAGCCTCGGCCCTGTTCCCATCACACTCCGGTGAGCTTCCTCCAGTGCTCTCTTCTTTCCCAGCACATCGACAACCATGCCTTCATCATCATCTCTAGGATGCTTCCTACTTGCTTGCCTGGCAACCCCCTTCCCAGCCATCTGCGCCTGAGACTCCCTAAGCCGTTTATGCATCTCGGCATCATCCGGATCTACGGCCATTTTCATGCTTCCCTTTATGATACCTGCCACTGCACATCAAAAGCTAAGTTAGTCACAACTACAAAAAGGAAATCGGAAGGCAAACAACAAAGGTGACCCAAGTACTTACTTCCTTGCAAAAGGCTGGACTTAAACAAATTCTTCTAGGTGACTAGGTTTTTGCACTCGCGCTCGGTCTCCGACAACAGTGATCTCACCTTCTCAACTTCCTCTTCTTGCTCCTTGGAGATCGGCCCCCACTACACTGAACCTGCACCAAAGGTTAGATACAACTTAGCCATTTACACTTACACAAGCAAAAATAGAGACCCAAGAGTCCAAACCAGTACAAACACTACAAAACAATAATCAGTCTTAAAGGAGGGGGCTAAGGACCTATAGACTGGAAGTGGGTTGGAACGTGTCTGGAGACGGTCTTCCCTGGCGGCCACTCCCAATTACCATAAGTCAGGCACCACCTATTTCTCCAAGACTTCTAAGTAGAAGGCTTGTGACCAATGAAGTAACCCCTCTCCTTTGCCTTTCGGCAATTGGCTTGTACCCAGCCAAAACTTCCTTGTTGCTTGGAGATCGAGTAGAGATACATAAACTGCTCAAATGTCGGCTCCCCCAACCCAACCAACCACCAAGCTATATACACCCCATGAAGAAGAAGCCAAAAGTTGGGATTATACTGCCCCGGCGCATATCCCAGCTTGGCCAACATCATCTGCACCCAAGGATGCAACGGTAGTTTGAAGCCATGCTGATACATATCCCTAAAAATCATCACTGAACCTTCTGGAGGGTATCTAACCACATCAGCTGCAATGGGTAACCTCAAACCCACATAGGGTGGAACACTATAATTTGTCTGAAGCTCAGCCAACTTTACTTCTGTCAGAATATTCATCCTAGCCAAAGGGACACCAACCCGGATGTCCACCCCCTCTGAAGCTGAAGCCACGGCTATACCCACAGACCCTGATGGTGATGCCTGGTTGCTCGAGCCCACCTCTGGTGAACGAGGCATAGCTAGAACCCGATCAACTATGGCCTCTAACACTTTATAATTCCTCTGCATCTCGTTATATGCCTCTGACCTAGAGTTTACTGGTGGCTCACTCCTTCCACTCTCATGAACTACCATCCTAGCTTCTACAAGACCTTCTACCAAACCCTCTGTCTGGGAACTCTCATCTTCAGAACAAACATATTCACTGGCCTCTTCACTCTCAGTATCATCCCCACCAAAGGCAGGGGGTCAGGACTTTCTTTATCAGAACTTTTAGACATCTACAACATCCAGAAACAAGAAAAAGGAACTAATGCACATGCAAGGAGGATCCAAACACAATAACACAAAATTGGATGGCATCTACATGCTTTTTGATCTAGACGCATACATTCAACAAGTCCATCTCAAGGTTCAAGGTGTTCATCATATTCGTACTCATATTCAAGGTGTTCATCCTAATCTTCAACATGTTCATATCAAAAACATAATTTCAATTCAAAAGTTCGAGGGAAATGAGGTCTAACCTTGTTTGCACCACCACGGAATGACGCTGGAAATCACCTTGGCCACAAGCACCACCACCAAAATCTCGTCGGAAATCTCTTTTCTCCTTCTCACTTTCTGGAAATTTTTCTCAAAAATTCAAGTATGATCACCTTTGTAACCCCAAGCTCCTATTTATAAAGTCCCAAGGGTACACAAGAAACTCTAGCACCCTTTCACCTTCCCTCCCAAATCCCTTGTACCTGCACAACAATTTGAAATTCAAATTTCAAATTTCCAAAAATAAAAAATAAAAAAATGAGAGGAACTTGAAAGGACCTTGCCGAATGGCAAGGCCAGTGAAGAAGCAATTACAGGGCCACAAAAATTCTCACCTCGCCCAAGCCTTGCTGACTCAGCTCTAAGCCTTGGCAAAACCAAGCCCTTGAGAACACTTGATTGAGTCGGCTACAAGGGGCAACAAAAAGCCCAAGGCCTAGCTCCCAGCTCCCTTGCTGACGGTCAAGCACAAACCAGAGGACACAACCTTATGTTCACCAAAGATGCGAAGGCCTAAAAACACCATCACAAAGGACCCTGCCGAACGGCAGGCCCCGTGTAGAACCAAAAGGGGGACTCACCAAACTCTCAAAAAGCTCGGCTCACGTTTCGACCCAATCAAACAATTATCGAGGCCCAACTCCAATATTCTTGTCCCCCTTCTCAAATTAGCTAGGATTTGACAAATCCACTTTTTGCCGAACATCCAAGGCCCAGCAGCCTCACCAAGCCCAAGCTCCCTTGCTCAACCTTCAAGACAAATCACCATAACACCAATTCACAAACCTGCCAAAGACACTTACCGAGTGAGGCTAAGAAGCTAACAAAAATCCAATTAACAGCACCCTTGCCGAATGGCAAGGGTTATGCAGAAAGATTGGAGGCACAACACAAAACCAAAGCTGCCGAAACAACAAGGACTCAAATAAACACTTGCTTGCTCAAACCACCGACTAAATTTCAAGGGGCCCGACCTCCGGATCCGAACCCAACCTTGCTAAAGCTGAAACTACACCAATAATCCAGACTACATGTAGAAACAATTCAAAGAGTCAAAAATTGATCAAGACACCCTTGCCGATCGGCAAGGGTTATATGGAGGCAAAACATGGTCAGCATATGAAATTTTCACCTTGCAGAAGCTTTGGTTGACCTAGCTTCAACTTTGGCCACAGCCCGAGCCCCAACAACACTTTGGGTAAAGCCAACTCCAAGCTAAGACAAGAGGCCCAGACTCCTAATTTCTCTTTCCCAGACCCTGCAAGAGACTAAGTCACCATTAGACAAAATGGACTTGAAGATTAAACCACAACAACAATATCATCTTACCGAATGCATAGGCTGCCCTTGCCGAACGACAGCCGCCGTCAAAAAACTCTTCCTCCCCGCAGTTGTCTCAACGCCCAACTCCACCCGTGAGACCTCACAGTTCTCTGCCTGCACAGCCCTTGAGTACAAGGCTTACAAAATTTCCAATCAACCCTTGCCGAACGGCAAGGGCTGAGCTTTGGCTAATGGAGGCGCAAGAATGAAACCGGGTCAAAGCCCAACTCTTCCTTGCCGAATGAAAATGACCTGGCTGAAGCTGCGACAGAAGTCGTGACCGAAACCACACAAACTTTCTCAATCCACCCTTGCCGAATGGCAAGGGTCGAGCACAGAGAAAGGTAGCCTCGAAGAGAACTCACCTCCCACAGCGTTTGAATCTAAGCTCAAGCCCTAATGCTTGTGTCAAATCACGAGGTCACGACACCAAGGACCCAACCCCACTCCATCTCCCAAGCCCTGTTGAAGCCCAACCTCTTTGCCAAAACCCACTCAAAAAGGCCCAGCTTTCTTGGCAAGAGACTAGAGCCCAAACCTTGGGCATCCTTGCCGAAGGAATAAGTGGAGCAGATCTTTCTTGCCAAAGGCAAGCCCAGCCACAATCCAATAAAAAAATAAAAATTTAAAAAAAAAAAAAAAAAAAAAAAAAAAAAAAAAAAAAAAAAAAAAAAAAGGCCTGAACGCCGCAAAGGGCCATAAAAGGAAAATTGAAGCCCACACTTTGTTCTTCAAGCTTCAACCCACTTTTTGGACCCAAGCCCTTGCTGCCCAAAACCATCACTTGGTTACCGAACGGCAGGACCCGAGTCACAAGCACTAAGGCCCACAGATTTTCTTGCCTAAGCCTTAAGACCTAAGTCTACATTTCTTTCAAAGGTACCCAGCTACCAAAAATCCTAGAGGCTAACACAAATTTTATCATACCTTCTAAGTATTAACGCAACTTCTAGCTTGCCAACTTGGGGGACTAGGGAATGCCCTACGGCTCCCATTGAACTTGGAATGCTCGGTCATGATTACACAAAAAACTCAGAAGTTCCCAACCCAGAAGTTACTTCTTGACCGCGAACTTGGGGGACTACTGTTTACACCATAATCAACCGAGCATGTCCAGCATCAAAACGACTAGCACCAAAGGCAAACACGACTTCTCTCCTGCTAAAGGAAGTCATTCTTCCAAGGTGCCAAGCACCTGCCGAAGCTCCCAAACTGCCAAAACTACTCTCCGTGACACATGTCACCACCACAGCGACTTACATAAAGTCCCACATCGGAAATCTACACAAACCTCCTACTTTCACTTCCCTATAAATAGGGAACAATACCCTAGTAAAAAGGACAACTACTTTATTACCTTTTACTATTACTCTGCCAAAGTTACCACACCGGTGTCTGAAGCTTAACGATTACTTCTCCTACTTTGTCTTCTGCAGGCTAGCCCCTTACCGAAGGTCCACACCTTCTCCACTGCTGAAGACAAACCCCTTTTCTCTAAGTTGATCCTCTCCAAAAAAGAGCATCAACAATCATCATCCATATCCCAAACATTTGGAGTCAAATGACATTAAAGAGTTATCATAGCTTCCACCAAACATGCCTACTCATCATCCACTAAACATATACTATCATATCTCCAGATAAAGCTAATTACTCACCACTAATACACCTCCATAGAAATCCACTTTATATCTCAAGTAGATAACTAGATCTTTGTATATTAGTGTAGGCTCATTATTACCTCTTATTATTTATTACTAAAGCTTTATATATATTGTACTGCACACTGCACAAGAAATATGAATGAATACAAAAACATTTTGTAGCTTTAGATTCTTCATGTTATCAGAGCTTTAATAGCTCCACCGAGCATCCTTTTGTATTCATTATTTTTTTTCCTTCCTATATTCATTCCTGCCTTTAAACATGGCCACCGAAACCTCCCAATCCCCTAATCTTACTGTGTCCTCTCCTAGCTCCACAGACACCACTACTTCCTTAATCACTATCAATGCTACTACTCAACTCCCAATCAAACTAACGCCCTTAAACTATCCCTCCTGGCGAGAGCAATTCAATGCTATTCCCTTAGGATATGATCTCATGGGGTAAGTAGACGGGACATATACTTCCCCACCACCATCAACCACTGGTTCTCCATCTTATCCCCACGCTCTGTGGACACGTCAAGATCAACTGTTGCTTCATGCCATCATGCCATCATGCCATCTTATCTCCCTCATTGCTTCTGTAAAAACCTCCAAGGCTGCTTGGGACAAACTCTCACAGCTCTTTGCCAACCGAGCTCGATCTAGTGTCATGAGTCTTAAAGAAAGACTCACCCTCACACGTCGTAACTCCAAACCTGTCATTGCATACCTGCAAATCGTCAAAGCCATTGCTGACGAGTTAGCCCTTATTAATGCTTCGGTTGTTGATGACGATCTCGTCATCCATATTCTGAATGGTGTTGGTCCTGAATTCAAGGAACTCGCCGCTGCTGTTTGTGCTCGTGAAAGCTCCATTTCCTTCAAAGAGCTTCACGACAAACTTGTTGAGTATGAAGTTGCTCTGCAACGCCTGTCATTACTGTGAACACTACTCAGCAGCCCCATTCCTCTCAGTCCCTCAATCGCAGTCCTTGCTAAAGTTTCCACAATCATTCTCTCTCAAACTTTGGCTCACATACCGATTCCCATCGCGAATCCTCTGGCACTACTTCCCTTAATCCTAGTTCTTCCAGTACTACTCAACAAGGTCATAGTGCCAAGCGTTGTTCCCACCTTGTTTTGTCCAGCAGTAGCCACTAGTTGCAAACCATGCTCGACTCTGTTGCCTCCCACCAAGTCATTGCTAATATGAAAAATCTCTCTGTCCATTCTCCATATAAAGGTTCTGATGAAATTGTCATTGGTAATGGATCAGGTTTGGAAATCACACATGTTGGATATACCCACCTTTCTTCTTTCTCCCTTACTTCTTTTTCCTTATCTAATATGCTTTGCGTTCCTTCCATACAAAAAAAATTTAATATCTATTTCTAAATTATGTAAACATAACAATACCTCAATTGAATTTTTCCACTTTTACTTTTGTGTGAAGGATCTGCACACAGGGACGACACTACTTCAAGGTCCAAATAAGAATGACGTGTATGAGTGGCCTCAATCTTCCACTAGTTCCTTCCTTCAGCCTTTTTCTATGGTTGGTGAAGCAACCCCTATGCATGCCTGGCATTAACGCCTTGGTCACCCAAATAACCGCACTCTTCATAAAATTATCCATTCCTCTTCCCTCACTGTGCCATCTAAATCCTCTAATGTGTCTTCATGTGTCTCATGTTGTTGTAATAAGAGCCATCGGCTCCCTTTTGATGTTTATTCTCTTATGAGTAGATGTCCTCTTGATCTCCTCTATGGTGATGTTTGGGGCCCTGCTCCTATTTCCTCGATTGATGGTTTTACATATTATGATATCTTTGTTGACCATTACACCAAATACATTTGGCTTTACCTCATTAAACTCAAATCTGAAGTGCTTCATATTTTTACCAAATTTATACTCTTTACTCTGATGGGGATGGTGAGTATGTCAAACTCAAAGATTTTCTTGCTTCTAGTGGTATTTACCACCTAACTTCCCCTCCTTACACTCCTGAACATAATGGGTCAGCTGAGCATTGTCATCGTCATGTTGTTGAAATTGGTCTTATCCTCCTTCATCAAGCCTCCATGCCTCTCTCCTATTGGACTCATGTGTTTCAACCTGAAGTATACCTTATTAATCGTATGCCCATCTCCACTCTTGGAAACATATCACCCTACACTGCTCTTTTTGGTCAACCTCCTCACTATCATAAACTTCGTGTCTTCGGCTGTTTATGTTTTCTGTGGTTACGTCCCTATAACTCTCATAAACTTGTTCCGTGTTCTCGCCCATGTCTTTTTCTTGGCTATTCCCTTTTCCTAAGTGCCTACAAATGCCTTGATCTTTCTTCTCAACATCTTTTTGTCTCTTGACATGTTGTATTTGATGAGTTTGTCTTCCCATTCACTTCACATAATCCATCTGCTCCTTGTGTCTCTGCTTCCAGCCTTGAGCTCTGGTCCTTTCTCATCCCCCCTATCCTACACGTGCCTATCATGCATGCTACGATACCACATCGCTAGACTTCACAATCCGTAGCTCATGCTGCACCGATTGCTAGTGCCTCATCTCTATCATCTTGTTCTCCCTCGAATGAGCCTTGTCCTCTCATGCCTAATCCCTCACCAGCATCTCCTAGTAGTTCACCTTCTCCACCATTGCTGCCTCCACCTCCTCCTACCAATCATCACTCCATGATTACTCGAAAGACATTTATGTCACTAGCAAACACCCTTTCCCTTCGTCTCTAAAACCAACATGTGTCTCTCAGGCCGCTCGGGATCCTCTTTGGCGTGCTGCCATGTGCGATGAATTTAATGCCTTAATCCGAAATGGAACTTGGGAACTTGTTCTAGCCACTTTTCATCATAACCTCATTGGTTGCAAGAGGGCATTTTGCATCAAACGTCACCCGGACGACAGTATTGACAGATACAAGGCACGTTTGGTTGTTAAAGGTTTTCATTAGCGCCCTGGCATTGATTTCTTTGACAACTTCAGTCCTATTGTAAAACCTACTTCCATTCGAATTTTTCTACATCTTGCTCTCTCTTCTGGATGGCTTATCCACCAACTTGATGTCAATAATGCATTTCTCTATGGTTTCTGAGGATGTCTATATGTCACAACCCCCTGGTTTTGTGGACTCAAATTTTCTATCTCATGTATGCAAACTTTGCAAAGCACTATATGGTCTCAAGTACACACCGCACGCATGGTACAAAAAATTGAGCTCCTTCTTGCTCTCTCATGGATTCATCGAAGCCTTTTCAGATTCCTCCTTATTTATTTTTCATCACGGTTTTGCTATTATTTACTTCCTTGTTTATGTTGATGATTGTAGGGGCCTTTTTCTTTTGGCAGCTACAAATGGGCTGGGTTGCCGTAAGAAGCGAACTGATGAAGTTATCCCCTGTACTTGAGTTCAGAAATCAAGCCCCAAGAATGCTTCGAAAGGACAGTAGGGCTTTAGGAAACAACTTGATTACCTTCATCAACAAAAATAACAATAGCTTGCAGATGAATTCTTAGTGCTTATAGGTACAATCTTAGCTTGGCATGAGAGGCTTGTGGCATGGGAGCAAAGTTGTCATGAGTTTAGCCTTAAAGGGAAACAGCTATGAGTTTCTATGAAAAACAAGGGTTCTAAGGAAAAGGAGGAAAAGATTATCAGAGGTTTTGGCTGAGAAGAGGAGAGAGGCTAGGCAATGTGTGGCTTAAGTGTTTTTTCCAGCAGCTCAACAGAGGTTCTGTCAAATATCAGAACGATCTGCCAAGAGGAAAAACAAGGGGGAGAAGGATGAACTAAGCATGAAATTGTTGGGTTTTTTAGGTAAGAGAGGAAGCTTGCTCTTTGGATGTGGTTGTCCTTTTGTTGGGAAGAGGAGGCCTTATTTATAGCTGTAGGAAGCTATTCTTTTTCAAGAAATCCTAATGGTTTCTATCCAATTTGGCCAAGCTTTTCCCTTTCTTTCTTCTCCCTTCCTTGACTTTCCCCATCTTGGTGACATTCTCTCTGCCCATTTGCACAAAATCAGGGACTTTTGGGTGCTCAAGGCCCTTTCCTGCAGCTGTTTAAGTGGGAGACTCCCATTCTCAGCTATTTCCCTTTTTTCTTTCCTTCCTCATTCCATGGCTAGATTTGATGAGGGAAAGAAAATGGGTATACATGCTGGTTCGAAGAGTGCCTCTCCTCTTGGCAGCCTGCGCACTAAAATCCTTTGGTCCTTCGGATGTTTTTTGCTTGAAACTTGTTCTTCCCCATGTGTTGGAGCCTCCCAACAACTCTGCGCACGTGGACCTCCAAGCTCCCTTCATGGCTTTGTTCTCCAAACAAGTGCTGAGGCTTTTGCTGCTTCTTTTTCTAATTGTATGGGCCTTCTAAGACAGCAAGTCAATTCATCAAACAAATGGGCTAACCTTATCAAGTATTGGGCTATTTTGGTTAATCTAATAGGCTATTTTGGCTGAGGTAATGGACTACTTTCTCCTTTGTGCTTACCTACATGTTTGGGCCTAAGAAATGAGCTTGAGTTTCGAGGCTCCCAAACAACCCGGAACCTCCATTTCTTGGCCCATCAATGGGCCTCATGACAACTTATTATCATTCATACCACAATCCACTCAAGCAAGCCCCTGGACATTCGAGTGTCTTGAGCCCACTTAGGCTTGTAGCATGGTTGTGTGTGCAATAATGATTTCTTGCTTGACATTGCATGTCGCTTGGCATACTTTTAATTATTATGCTTGAGGGGATAATTAGCATGGATTTGCAGAGCTAATGCATTTTATAATCTTAATCTCGATTCCTAGCATGACGAATTATTTATTTGGCATGGCACATGGAGTGTGACTCGTGCATGACAGACTTTTGCGTGCTCCAAATTGGGTTTTTTCTCAATGATGTGTCATATTGGGCCGAGAATTTATTCGAGCCCAACCGTGGATTTTTTGGGCCTCAACAATGATCTTATTGTTATAGGAAATAATTCATCTACTCTGTCTCAATTTCTTCATGACCTTGCCCAACGATTCTTGCTCAAAGATTTGGGTCCTCTTCACTACTTTCTTGGTGTTGAGATCATTCCTACTGCTAGTGGATTATTTCTTTCCCAACACAAATACATCAGGGACCTTTTAGCTATAGCTGGTATGGATGGCGCTAAGGAGGTCAGCACCCCAATGTCCACCTCTGATCCCCTGACCCTTCATGATGGTTCTCCTCCAACTGATGCTACCATGTTTTGACAACTCGTTGGTCGTCTCCAATGCCTCAACCTTACTCGTCCTGACATTGCATTTGCCGTTAGCAAGCTTTCTCAATTCATACATCAACCCTCTCAACTTCACTGGCAGACCCTCAAGAGACTTCTTCATTATCTAAAGTGCACTTTTTATCATTGGTTATTTCTTCGCCGTTCGTCTACTCTCCTTACAAGCCTATTCTGATGCGGACTGGGCCAGTAATCGTGATGATCGCAGCTCCACCACTAGTTATCTTATTTATCTTGGTGGCAATTTAATCTCATGGAGTTCCCACAAACAGCAATATGTTCCTCGCTTCTCTATTGAGGCTGAGTATTATGCCATCGCTTGCACTGCTACTAATTGGCCTGGATTCAATCCTCACTTCGCGAGCTTGGTGTCTAACTTCCTACTAGTCCCACTATTTCCTATGATAATGTTGGAGCTACTTTCTACTGTACTAATCCTGTTATTCACTCCCGCATGAAACACATCAACATAGATTTTCAATCTGTTCGTGATCATGTGACTCGTAGCCTTCTTCAAGTTTCTTATGTTTCTACTATTGATCAATTAGCTGATGCTTTGACCAAACCTTTGTCTCATCAACGTTTTAATCTACTCAAATCCAAGATTGGTATCTCTGATGGGGCCACCATCTTGCGGGGGCATATTAAAGAGTTATCATAGCTTCCACCAAACATGCCCACTCATCATCCACTAAACATATAGTATCATATCTCCAAACAACACTAATTACTCACCACTAATACATCTCCACCAAAATCCACTTTATATCTAAAGTAGACAATTAGATCTTTGTATATTAGTATAGGATCATTATTACCTCTTATTATTTTGTCACTAAAGCTGTATATATATTGTACTACACATTGCACAAGAAATATGAATGAATAAAAAAACATTTTGGGGTGAAGGTGTTGGGTTTTGTTGGCGAGAGAGAGAGAGAGAGAGAGAGAGAGAGAGAGAGAGAGAGAGAGAGAGAGGGTAGTGGGTGGTGGTGTTGGTGTCTGGGTAGGGGAGGAGAGATTATATAATAATACTGTACCACCACGTCAGCTGATGATACTCCCTCTTAAAATTTAACACGTGTCATTTTTTAAAGAAAATAAAAACTTTTTGGACAGCTAGACTTTGACATCCGATTTTAACCTTTAAAATGAAATTTAAAAAACGAAAAAAAGAATGAACTCTACCACCCCAACCCAGATGCAATTACCTTTGGCCGCCGCCACCTCCTCTATTTCTATTCCTCCGTCCATCTCTCTCATGTACAAACGACAATCTTATTTTACATATGGTGTTTGTCTTCACATTCAATTTTTTTCATTTTTCTTCCTTAACAGCAGCATCGTAATCATAATCTCAATTGTTCAATTTCCTCATATCTCATCTCCCTAAAAAAGAATGAAAAAAATCGAAGAAATAGATGATTGTACAGCAACCCACCTCGAACCTAGCATTACCTCCACTGGAGGCCGCCACATCCCTCTATTTGCCTTCCTTCCACTCAGTTTCTCTCTCCTCTCTTGTCTTCAATTACATTAATGGATGCATGTCCAATTGAACCCCAGTCAACTTATGGGTATCAACTTATGTTCCTTGTATGAAGGAAGAAGAGAGAGAGAGGGAGGGGTTGGTGGGAGGAGAGGCAAAATGGTTTAATGTGTTTAATGTGTTAACCATAAAGACGGATTGCGCTTCTTAATCCAAATTGATTATTAAAATTTTCAACAACATGCATGTGTTGGTTCAATACATTAATACCCACAGTTCATCCAACTAGACTTGGCCAATTGGTTCACTCACACGATTCTGCGGCCGTCAATATGACATCAATCACTTTCCAAAAATTTGAATTTTATAAACACCTTCCCTTTGCAAAAAGGCAACCTCCAGAGCAACTTTTTTCAACTTCCATCTAGAAGATTGCCTATATAAATTTGAGGTCAACACCGCACAAGAAATCCCTACAATCCATTTCCTATAATATATATTTTTTCATTCGTAACGAAGATATTCAGTGGAGGTGAGCACTTAGTTTTTGTCTTTTGTCGGACCGCTGATGAACTTCATCCTATGAATATTTTGGCATTGCATTAGCCATTTTTACTTTTCTACGTCGGCAGTGAGATTCAAGCTTCCACTTTGGCTTATAGCAATTAGCGAAAAAGCAAACGTAGGACAGGCTGAGATCAACTTCAGCGCAATTAGTTTTATTGTTAATGCGCAGCACCTGCTTGGTTTCGGGTAAAATTGCAACTTCCTTTATGGTATTAGAGTTGGTTATCCACATGTTGGATTAAATAACCATACATGCTCTCACGTAAAGACGAAATTATAAATTTTTCAATGGATGAGTTAACAAAAGTTATTAGCTTAAAATTTAAATCATATAAACCATGTTAGTCTACCAATGGGGTCTAGCCAAGTGAAAAAATGCCTTTTATCTTGCAGACCGGTGGTCTCGGGTTTTAAAAAAAAAAAAAAATTTATTTTTTTCTATAGTTCATAATTCCATTGACTAATTTCCAATAAGTTTTTTTCTTTTTTAATAAGCGATATTGGGTGTGAAGGGGAAATCGAACTTGGAGACTTCAAGTGCAAGGGTAAATGTTAATTTTTAATCAGCTTTAACATTAACAAATACATATCATCAAAATGAAAATATGTTCAATAACATACTTATTTTAATTTTTAATGTGTATGTTTATTGATGCCGTGCAACTAAATTCAAAAAGACTTAAAGACTTTTATGGACTTTAATTAATAGGCTAGTACATATTGGGCTATTTTAGTTAGATATATATGTTTTATTTTTATTCTTATCCCCAAAACCTCTCTTGGAGTAGTTCCGCTCTTGCTCCCAGATCACCCAATATATATTGCCCATGTATTACACTTAAGTGATACCACAGATGAGGGTGCGTTTTGAGAGTAACCGTCATTATAATAGACTGCTTTGAAAATTTGATTGTTTTCCACATTTGACTTATCATTCGCGGCTGACTTTAATTTGTCCCCATCCAATTGTACAAGAGCATTATTTAATTTCAAAGATAAATTCGGCAGCTCATGTTTGACTAGGTTCCCACTTTAAAAAGTCAGCAATTTCAACTAGGCCATACATAAACAGTACTTTTAGAAACTTCCGAAATGTGTATTTATAGAGTGTGTGTTCTGGACAGAAGACGGAACAAATTAACCAGTTTGAGTTTCTGCCAATATGTTCTTCTCCAAATCAATCCCTCTCTTTTTCTTACTCTTCTGTCTTTTACACCATGCAGCGCTTGGTGCTTCACCACTTTTCCATTTTTGTTTCAGCAAAGAAAACTACACTGCCAATAGCCCATATGGTGCTAACTTGATTCAGCTGTTCAATCTTCTGTATACAAAAGTTCCTCCTACTGGATTTGGCCTTGGATCAACTGGTGAAGGCCAAAACCAAGCGAATGGGCTAGCCCTATGTCGTGGGGATGTCTCAAGCCAAGATTGCAAGACTTGTGTCGTTGAGGCAAGCAAAGAGCTTGGTGAGCGCTGCCCTAGTAGAAAAGGAGCCATAATATGGTACGACAACTGCCTGTTCAAGTACTCAAATGTGAATTTTGCTGGGAAAATTGATAAAAACAACAGGTTTTATATGTGGAATGTCCAAGAAGTAGATGATCCCACGCCATTCAATGCGAAAGTTAAGGAATTGTTAAGCGGGTTATCTACTAAAGCTTCTTCTAATCCAAAGTTTTATGCTACTGGTGAGCTAGAGCTCAGCTCATCAGAAACGCTATATGGTTTGACTCAATGCACGAGGGACCTCTCTAGTTCCGATTGTAAGAAGTGTCTTGATGATGCAATAAGCGAATTACCAAATTGTTGTGATGCGAAACGAGGTGGGCGTGTTGTGGGTGGGAGTTGTAACTTTCGATATGAACTTTACCCCATTGTTCAACCTTAACTAGATTATATAGCTCTTAGTCGGTTATGACCATGCAGCAATATTAATTCAATAAGTTCAGAACATGTTTAGAAAACATGTTAATTGTTATAAATCTGAAATGTTTATTACATATTATGCTTACAAATAAATGAAGTGATATGCATGGGACTTCTATTGCCTAATTTATCAGCCTCAACCCTTTTCATTCTGATATATATTTGACCATCACGTATACCATAAATTTATTATTCCGAAATTCTAGAGTTTAAAAAAATGAGCAAAGGGGTAAGGATCGTTCCCTTCACTATCAAGGATTATGTTTGAATCTCGTTGCCGACAATCCCTTTTGGTGAGTAATTTGTAAAAACTGAAAAAGGGGCTAAGGCCCTCTGTAAGTCCTCAAAGAGGCCTTGGTATGTCCTGACTATGGGATGGGGTAGCCTCCCCTCCCCTAAATTTTTGTTTACCCAAAAATTAAAAAAAAGCGCAAAACTGGGATATCAAAATTAATGGCATGGTAAATAAAAATGTAAAGAAAAAAGGAGCGGGTATAATCAATACATTGATACAATCAGAAACAAAAGGAGACATTTAAGACTATTTAAGGATTTTAAAAAGTCCATTTAAGGATTTTTTTTTTTAAAATTCCAATGGATTTAATTAGAATGTAATGATTTATAGGATTTTATTGATGGATTTGTATAATCAGGATTTTTAACTTTTGAATTTTAAAGATTATTTCATAAGATTTTATAAGATTTAAAAGGACTAGATGGATTTATATCATATGATTTATATTTGGGCATGACTAAATAGGGCTATAGTCCAAACCAAAATTTGAAACTTTTTTAAATACCTAGACCGATAGATATAGTGAACCCATAATTTCATACCCTTAAAAAAAGAAGAAAAAGGAGTACAGCAGCCGGACAAAAAAGGTGTTTGCTCCCATGTTGTGGTTTGGTATTGATGTGACATTTTATGGGGTTAGAAGAAAGTATTTCCTTGGGGGAAAATTTAGGGGGCGTTTGGTATCCTATTCAAGTATGGAACTCAAAAACTTTAATTTTTCTTAAAAACAAGGAGTTCTCAAATCCATTTTTAAATATTCAAAAATTTGTTTGTTATGCAACTTGAAAACTGAATCATATCTTGAAACATTCTCCTTCTTTATCAA